TATTGCTTAACTTGGATGCAGGGTGGTTACAACTGCCAAATAATGTGGTGGAAAGCATGATAGGGATTGGACAGGCAATAAAGGCCTAAGCTCAACAGGGCTACTCAAGGCATTGCAACAGTACAGAAATTGGCTAACAATAAAATACAGAATAAAAGCACAAACTTAATTGGAATGGAACATAAAAATAATAAAAATGATTATTTTTATGTAAAAAAAATTATCATCCAAAGAGAGGTCTAGCTTGCAGTAGGTATCACTTCCACGCTCACTGTTATACTTCTGCCGTGAAGAACTTGGGAAACGCTTGTAGGTCTCTCTGACCTTAACATATTTTAATTCTAAGAAGTTTGTTGTTGTTGTTGCTACTGCAGTGATGGTACTGCAATTATGACTAAGGTGCACTGTTTCTATTTGCCTTCATAGAGTTGTGCAAAGAATGATTAATTTGTGGATTCTTTTTTCGTTTTCATCAAATCTAACTGGTTCTTACAGCTTGTTTCTCAAATTACAGCCTGAGCTTGATTTTAGAATGTATGAGGGCTAATAAGCTGAAGCTTTATCCACAGATGGTTGCTAGCAGTATGGCAGTGGGGGAGAGAGGCTTCATGTGCTGATAGATAAGGTTACACTGCCCCAGGAGCCTGTCCATAAACTGAGGTCCCTTCTTGGCTATGCTTTACTGTATGAGGCTCGGGCAAGAGCACTAGCGTAGGTTATCTTCTTTCACTCTGGCTGGAAAACCTATTGTAGCCTCTCCTCTTTGTGGAGATGGGGCCCAGCTTTTTCACAATACAGTATTCCCAGTCAGTCAGTCCAAATTCAGAATGTGAGATAAGCAGGGTAGAGACAGATGAGCTGGCAGGTAACTCTGCAGAGTCAAGGTTAACAAGCAAGATTAGTCAGGTAGCAATTGAGAACCAAACCATTTTGGGCACAGGGTGGGGGGAAACACTGCAGAACAAGGGGTGGTGGAGAGTGCATTCTCAGACCCAGTGAGACCGTTCCACATCAAATGGACAGGGCGATTATGCGATGTCAGTCATTCCCAATATCCAGCTCAAAGGCAGAGTGAACCATCCTGAGGGTGGAGTTGAAAAAAGGAAAGAGGCCATTCTAGTTTGGAATCAACTCTTAACATGGGCAAAAACTACTCCCACACATCAGAGGGATCCTTACTCCAATTTATGCAACTTGTTCTCAGCTTATAGAAAATGCCCTGTAACACAACAAAACCTATTAAGCTTCAATAGTGGGCTGTATTTCAGCTTTTCATTTTGAGCTGCTGGAAATAGGAGAGGAGGAGAAATGTGCTCATGATGCTCTTGTACAGCTATCTGGTCCATCATACTAACTATCCATTTAATTACCCAAATGTGTTCTCCATGACACTACCCTGAGAAAGGTTTGGCTAGGGCAGAATTTAACAGCTCACATCCTGACAAGGATGAATCAAAGGAAATATTCCATGCATTGGCTGCCTGTCTGCTTTTGGACCAGATTCAGGGTGTTAATTTTTTACTTTTAAAGGCATGGATCTGGCAAACCATGGGGCATTTCATCTGCTTTGTCATCCACTCCATTCAATGAGATTTAATGGGGAATCTGCTTTATACTCCTGCACTGGCCTAAATAAAATTTCCCTGTAGTTTCAGTGTAAATTGTTAGACTGTTGTTGCTGAGACTACTATCCAGGAATGTCATTCTGTACTATTCCTCTTATGACCAATAATTCAAAGATTGCATGTTACTGAATTTATATTTTATAGGGTTTTAAAATCTCCTTAACTTTTCTTTTGATCAAGGTTGTATTTTATAAGTTTTAACTAGGGGACCTGCAAGAAAATGTTGCTGTGTATTTCCTTCCTTTGCAGGAGAGCTTAAGCTCAAGGTTCCTTTCGGCCAGTGATCTGGCCATGCCTTCCTCCAGGATATTACGAGGACTCTTCAAAAAGTTCACACTTTTAAAAACTCTATTTATTAAGAATTTCAAAAACAAATTACATCACTTTTCTACATAGTCACCCTCCTTTGCAATGCATTTTTCCCAGTGTCATACCAACTTTTTAATGCCATTAGCAAAATATATATATTTATAATACATAAAATATAAAAGTGCAGAAACTTTTTGAAGACCCGTCGTATAAGCCATAAGGACCTCAAGCAGGACATTCTGCTTCTCTGTCCACAGGTTGTTTTTATTTTTCTTCTGACAACATTCAGCAGCAACAGACAATGCACAATTCACACTGGGCTCAGTTTTTTGTCAGGGGATGTCATTATTTTTATCTGTATTTTATTAGTATTGTATTTTTAATTGTTGTAATTAGGGTTTTTTTATTGTGGTTTTTATCTTATTATTGCGAGCTGCCAAGAGGTGTTATGGCACAATTGGTGGCATACGAATGTTTTAAATAATAATAAATAATGTTGACAATTTAGGATTTTTTTATTTTTCCTTTTGCAAAACCCTGAGTCTCCCTTGAGCATGCTAATAAACAGCCCCATTTTAGCTCTAGTAATGTTGGCACTCATCACCTAAGTTTGCTAGTAGAGGGAGCTATATATAACATACTGCTAAAGCTGTAGTAGTTGGCTGCTTTCCATTCATTGTAGAAACTAGATGTGTTCAGCTCATTGAATAACTAATCTCTCTATCTGGTATCAATGAATTTTGTATCAAATCTATTTAATACATAGATTTCTTTTCATGCACCTTTTCACTAGAACTATGGATCTTAGAATCCAAAAATATTTTGCAATTTTATTTATTTTTATTTATTTATTAAAACATTTCTATGACGCCCCATTCGCCGAAGCCGAACATGAAGTAAAATACAAAAATAACAATATAAAAATAACAATATAAAATAAAATATAAAATATAAAATAAGTCGCCCTGGCCAGATAAAGTAAGCAAATACTGTTAACAATTAAAATGACGCTTAAATAAAAAGGTCTTTGCCTGGTGCCGAAAAACAAATAACAACGGCGCCAGGTGGACCTCTCTGGGGAGCGCATTCCATAGATTGGGCGCCACCGCAGAGAAAGCCCTCCTCCGAGTACCTACCCTCCTAATTTCTTTCACAGAGGGTTCCTGGAGAAGGGCCTCCGATCTCAAGGGGCGGCTGGGCATATACGGATGTAAGCGCTCTTTCAGGTAACCAGGACCCAAGCCGTTTAGGGCTTTATAGGTCATCACCAACACCTTGAATTGGGCCCGAACTTCAATGGGAAGCCAGTGAAGCTGACGGAGGACTGGAGTCATGTGGACATAACGCCCAGTCCCCGTCAGCAGCCTGGCAGCTCTATTGCAACCAGGGAACACATATATTGGAAAAACTTGTGTACCTCTCAGATATGAAGGCAATATTACATTGTAAACAGCCCTCAAAGTTAAGGATAACCAGAAATAAAACAAAATGCTATTATTTTATTAATATCTTTAATTATTTAGCTATTCATACTCTTCTGTGTTAGTCTCTGAGAATCTAAACAAACAGAGAAACATTTCTGTAATACTTCCTGCTGGGTGGAATTATTTTTATTATTAAATAAATTTATTCATGAAATATAATAGAAAATATAAAATAAATCAGTATTAAAAGTATTTGACATTAATATCCTTACACATATGTTCAATAAATTCTTGGGTTATACAATATATACATTTTTATTTTTACCTATTACAGTATACATAATGTACATATTTGTATGAATGAACAATTTTATGCCAGTTCTGGTGATACATCAGTGTTACATCGGTAGAACAGATTCCTACATATATTCAGTAGAGACAAGGAGAAAAAAATGCATAATGAGAAATTACAGAAATAGAAGAAAAACAACTAGATCTGTTTCCGCAGCATTCACAGAAATACTGACACTGCTTAGCAATCAATAACTGTGGTGAGGCTACTGATGAATTTACAATGGGAAAGGCCTTGTAGGCAAGGTATACACCTTGCCTACAAATGCAAATACCTGGAAAAAGAAACAAACAGTAAAATTCAGGAAAACACATTTTTCCAGGAAAAAACTAGGTTTCTTCTGGGGGGTTTTTTTGGGAGGGGGATTTGGGGAAATATTTCTCTGTATTTTTCCATTCCTCTCAAAATTTTTCTGTTCCCCTGCCTCAGGTCCTCTATGCATCACCACATACGATATGAAGGTTAGCCCCATAATACTTCCACTCAACTACCAGGCATCCAGGAAGAGATTCAGATCCCTTTATGCCACTCACAACTACTATTATGTAAAGATTACTTACTATTACTTACTTACTATTCTATAAGACACAGAAGCCTGCTTGTAGCAAACAGGTCCACAGCTACATGGAAAAACAGCCAGGAATCATCCTGGTTGCTGCTATTGGTCATGGCAGGACCTCCCTCCTGGTCTGCACAGAATCATAACATTCCTTAAACAGACAACTGGCTTTCCCCCTCCTTTCCAAGCAAGTGATGTCCAAGCCTTTTACTTTATAGACCACCCTCCAGCCTTTAGAAAAACTGAGTTGCTTCTGAAGTTCTTCTGGAAGTAAATATTTTTAGTTCTGCACAGCTGCGTTGGCACTGGCAGTTTAAATGACTATAAAACTCCAGCAGTGCATGCTCAGTTAACTGAAGATTTTTCTTTTAACTGTTTTAATCCCTGGAAGGCATCATTAACTTTATCAGTAAGCCAATGGGCAGAAATGAATGGATAGCAGTAAAAAAAAAAAGGTGGGGGGGGGCAACAAGCATGATAAGACAGACTGTGGTTCTGATCATGTTGAGGCTAGTTCTATCACTTCTCTTTTTGATACTGACATCTCATCCTAAGGATATGTAGTCTGCCCTGACAAAGAATGAGATATGTGAAATCCCAGAAAAAGAAATAAAACAGTAAGTTTTCTGTTTTTCTTTTGAAGTCTTGCTTCCCCCCCATCCCCAATGAAAAACTGTTTTTAAAAATCAGCTCAGGAATGTTTTCTTTCGGAATGACAAAAAAATGTTCGATGAGGTTTTTATATATTTATTGCCTAACATCTTTTCTAAAAATGATATAATAGATGCTTCTGTAAGACAATGTACACTATTGGATCATTACAATACTTGTGCACTGAGGAGAAGAAAGTATTAGGTTGTAGACAGAGTCTGCAACTGTTAAATGCAAAAACAAGATGCATTATGTTGTACCCTGCCCTGAGAGCTTTATGGCTAATGGAGCAGGTTAGAGATTAAATAAATAAATAAATTCTGCCTTCAGAGGAACAGCCATTGTCACATGAGAAGGAAGAAGGTTTCAGTTTCTTCTTTGCTTGTAGGTTTCCTGTGTTAGAATTGTTGATAGATATGTCTTCTTAACTAGGCCTCAAATCACTGTGAGGGAAAAAAAATTACAAAAAGGAGCTGAAAGCACACTTTTTTTTGAAAGGGAAGGGTTTAAATATATCAGAATTCAGAAAACTATGTTAGTTTGCCTTAATAATCCTTATGAAAATTTAGTTCCCACTAATCTGATGCTTTTTTGAACCGACTCTCCCTTAATAGCTTAGAGTTCACTGGGAAAATATTCAGGTAGTTCCCTGCCCAAGAATGAGTCCCATTCCTGAGAATGTCCTTAAGCCAAATTTGTATGTAGGTCAGATCACATGACAAAACAAATGTTAGTATATGTATATATATGTTACCTTTCTATGCATGTAAAACACTTAAGAAACACTTCCATATTCACTAAAACATCTTAGATACAATACAGCATTGTAATAATGAAAAAATACAGTAATAAAGTAACTACAGGTACTGAAGAGAAAATGTGTGTGTATGTATAAGTCTGCAGTATTGTAAAAAACAAATTAAAACATTCTTAAAACAGTTTAAAACATTATTGAGGTATCATTAAGCCTAGCATTAAGTGGTGATGATGATGATGGACCTGGTGCTGGAGAATCAAGGTTTGATTGTGCTGCTGGAGATTGCGGGGGGGGGGGGGGTTACCACTGGAATCACTTTCTTGAAGTAGGCATCAAGGGTTGTTTGACAGCCATTTTCTTTTTCTCATCATAAATGGCCTTGTAGCAGGCCTGGTTAAAGGGCAAATGCTAAAGAAAAAACCAAAGGGGGACTATGCACCCTGAAACACACTGGCTTGGGTATGCTCAAACCAATGCTGCAGAATGAAAGGCCATGACTACTGTAATCTCTAACGAACTACACAGCCACTGAGGACATGTTGCATAGTTCCCTAGAGATATTCACAGCTTTTCTCTAGAGATATTCATATAGGGTTTATGGCAGTCAGCACATTTGTAAGTATGGGTTGTTCACAACCCAGATATTCATAACTGGGGACTCCTTGGACTTTTGCACCTTGTAGAAAGCATCCTGCAAATATTAAACATCTTTCACAGATTAAAGAGGAACCAAGATACTGATGAAAGTGCAACTAGCTTTTCTCATCATGCTTATTCTCAACTCCTCTTTCTGCTCCTTCATCATCAAGTTTCCTGATCAGCAACATTTCAAGTGAACAAATTTGCAAACAAGTGCATCCCCCTCCCCACTCCCAAAACAAAGAAGCAGAGGAAGTCAGAAGAGGCCTCCCTGGCCATCTAGTCTGATCCCCAGCTCAAGCCGGCTCTACTCATGACATGCCTACTATGTGCATGTAGCTTCATTTGAAGAAAGAATAGAATTGAAGATCAGGTGAAAAATGATCAAGTTCTTGCAAGAGCAATTTAATTTTATAGAATCCCATTGTCAATAATGTAAAAGCTTCCTGTCAGTATGCATTTTCAGTTACAAAAACGATCCTCTTTTTGCCAGCAGACATTATCTGAGCAAGTCTCCTTTGGAGTTCAAATATGAACACATAAATGGAATCTGTGCAACAAGAAATCAATGAACCACTGTGTCTTATAATACTTTTAGATGGATGGACAAATATTGGGGGAGAAGGAATCATAAACTGTGTGATTACATCTTGTTCAGACTGGTTTTGCTTTTATGGAAACATTAAAAGAGGAAACAACACACTAACCACAGAGCATATCAGTTATAAAGTATGTGAAGTCCTACACAAAACTAGGCATAGGATTTGCTTTGCTGACTGACAATACAAGTAATAGGAAAACAATATGGGAGATCATAATGAGTAAGTATCCACATATTACTGCAAGCAGTTGTGTACATCATGGGCTAAATTTGCTTCTCAATAATATCATGAAGTCAAACATCCTTCAAAAGATCTATATACAAGCAAAAAGGTTAATATAATAATACTATAATAATAGTATACTAATACTGTACTATAACAGTATACTATATTATACTATAGTATAATACTGATACTATAATAATACTAATAATAATTACTGCTACTACTAATAATACTCATACATTGCCTACTGTTTTCAAGATGAAAAAGTAAAATGAAAAATACAAAAAATACATGGTGATCTCCTTTGAAAACTAAACAAAGCAGCTCTTCAGGAAACAGTAAAAGATGAGGATTCTCCCCAGAAGGAGCAGTGTATTTGAGAAGGATGTCTTCTGGGTTCAGCTGCAAAACTCCTCAAAGATTCTACACCCAGTTTCTTCAGCAATCACTGCATCTGAATCAGACAGTGCATTTTTGTCAGAAACTCCTTACCAAATGGCCAAGATAAAAATAACTGACTTTGAGAATCTAAGGGTGCCATTCAACGTGACTGTCTGTAAGCCTCCAAACTCAGAAAAGTATCGGCATCCAGTCAAGGGAGGAACACTCTTCCTGCCTTCCAAACAACGCAAGCAGCAGAAATCTTTTCCCCATATCATGAGGAGAAGGGGCTGAGGCACTGTTTCTGAGGTTAGAGCTGGGACACCACCCACTATAGCCACAGGGCTGCACCCTTATTTCTACTTGTAAATACAGAATTAAAGTGAAAGATTTAATTAAGAAAGAAACATGTACTAGAAAAATCTTAGATTCATGATCCACAGCCAGAAATTTAAGTGATGACACCACTGCTGCTGCATTTGACTGGGTTACAAAAGACTGCATACTTTGGGCTTGATATTGCAAGAGGACTTTCAAATGTTGCAGAATACAGAACTTCGGGGATTTGGTCCAGGACTATAGTCCGGGATTCTGCCAAATGTATCCTGCATTATGGTGGATTCTACACAGCCTCTGACTCCTCTTGCTTCCTGATGACTTCAGAGTCATCTGTGTTGTGCCACAAGTGAAAGAAACTGGTCAATGTTTGGAAATACCCACATCAATATAGGCAAATCCTCAGTTTTCAGAAGTCTGTGATAACTACGACGAAGAAAAAGTTGAATCAGAAGGAAAAACAGAAACCAAAACAGATAGAAATAGCTCAGAAAGTGAGACTGATTAAATTTATTGTGGTTTCATTGAGTCTTGGTTGAACTCCTCTTGATTTTTCTTCTCAATTCTTTTTAAGGTAATGGGTGCTTTATTGTCTGCTTGACACTGAGAAACAGAAGACTAGAGCAGAAAGAATTTTCATTGTTTTAATAATATTGTTGGTTGCCTGTTTTTATTGCTTTTTATCTGCTCCTGACAAACTTAAAAGCAAAGAGGTTTTTTTATAGTTCAGGTGTTCATTACAATTCAGGACACAGACATAAGTAAGTGAAATAAGTTAATATTTAAAAGTAAATTGAGTTTATAATTATTTTCAGAATAGGCTGTACTTTCAATATGCTAAATGTTATAATTGTATGCCAATCCAGGTTATATTTAATACATTTTATGCTCCTAAAGTAACAAAGTGACTTTTAATCTGTAAACAGTACTAATATTGCATATTTCCTTAAAAAAGAAATATAAACAATTTCCATGTCATCAAAATTTCCAGAAATGTTTCATCTCTACAAAGAATCATAGGAAAGTCAAGCAAGATATGTCAGTTTGTCTGTGTCACCACTTACCATGCCAGAGTAGTCAGGTTGAGGCAATGGCAGTAAGAGAAAAGCCCAATTTCTTAAAGCACATTCACTAACAGAACACTACAAAGTTTGATAGGATGAAAAGTCAGCTAAAACACTTTGAAGATTAGGGTGCGTTAGTCAGTCATTGTATCATGCAGTCACTCCAGAAACTAATTATAGTTTGCTTTAATCAATGAACTGGAAAACTAATGATCGCTTATCAAAGGAGGTATGTAATCCTGGTAAGCTATTCTAGCATATATATATATACTTGCCACAAGAATAATTATTTCATGAACAAGAGACAGAATAGTTATTACAAGAACAAACAAGTGGAGACCTGCAACAAAATTCTGCAGGGTATCCATGGTTCCTAACTTGCATGTTTATTCAGGGCTGCAGCCAACCCAGAACTGGCTCTTTGTAGTGAGATTTAGAACCTCCCTTTCCTTGCTGCACTATGTAAACTATAGGGAATCCAAGCTGGAGTCTGGGAGCATGTTATCAGGCTGAGAAGGTTTCTAGAGAGTCAGAAGGAAAGACCTTTCCCTTTACTTTCTCTGGAAACTTACCCAGAGAGTACAGATAAGAGTGCAGGGTTTTTTTCTTAACCTTACAGCACACATTCCTACGAGCCTCCAGGATTCTTAACTGTAAAACAAGGTGGGAAACTACTTTAAAATGTGAGGCTGCAGTGAACACCATCACTGGTCTCTCCACAGGCCAGGTGAAATCCCTGCTTTTCTCTGTGCTGAGGGATGCAATGAACAATGTGCCTCTCTCAGCAAGAAGAAGAGATCAGGCCAGCAAGGTGAAGAGCTGCTCTTCCAGGTTCAGCTGGGTTGTGCACCTTTTGTCATCCCAGATGGGGGGTGTCAAGAGGCACATGAAGGAAATCTCAGTGGTTTTTCTCAGTCCTGGCTAAGACCCTGGCTTTCCTCAGCAATGGAAGTGTGGATCAAGATTAGCCTTTCAACATTTATGCATGTGTGATCACAGGTCCAGGGGGAAAAAGTCAATCTTGTTTAAATACATTTTTATACAGGGAAAAAGTCCTACAACTCTTACCATTTCTCCACCTACCAAACTGGCTGGGGAATGTGGGGACTTGTAGGACTTTTTTCCGTCTAATTTTTCCTAGGACTGTACACATAACCTTGTGTTTATGACATTACAAGCCCTCAGCTTTTTAATCTGCATAATAGATTTGCCACTTTTTATTTTCATTGAGTATGAGTCTGCTGTGCCTTTACAGCTGCACAACAGGCAGAATTTCAGCAGACAGTGAGATAATAAATCACTTGACCTAAATATTCAAACACACCACATATATGCTCTCATCTCAGTAATCCTTAGTAAAATAGACAAATATTGTTAATCATTCACCAGAAGGTGCTCACCCTTAGATCACATGCACACTTATTTTTCTCTCAACCCTTCTCACATGCACACAACTTCATCTCCCAAAGAAGAAACTCTTTCAAGCCCCATTCCCATCTCTGCACACAGTTTCAGCAATAATCTCAACAAGTTTCAGAGGTGCTTTCTCTCAAGTAAGCATGCACTGTCTTCCAAGGTAATGTGAGCCTGCATCCAACAGCCTGATCTTAGGCAGAGCTAAGCACAATGATGCAACTAGGCAATTTCAGAGCCAATCCTCTAGTAAGTTGTGTGAATTACTTTAGTTATGAAGCATACAAAGCACTTTTTTCCCTCCCCCTTCACTGCCATTCCATATTTTACAACTGCTTCTTCACTCTTGATATGTTACAGCTCAAAACAAACAAACACCTCAAAATATGCTGACAACATGCAGTTTCATGTTAATTAAATTGCATTTGCTTCTGCTATCTTTATGAGAACATATTTACTTGAAGATCTGTGTCTTAGGTAAATTTGTTGTGGAAAAGTTTTTTTTTCCTTCCAGCAAAAGTAATGCAATCAATATTGCTAACCACATAGATGCCTGACTGGCTATCTCAAGTATAAAATGACTTTAAATCATAATTACAAAGGATGTGTTGGAAAGCAGCATTAGCCCTGGTGGGCAACAGCATACCCCACTGTTGATGCTTGGGCCAGTTTTCTGCTTTCCTCATCACTTGCCCTTCACTGACTGGGTTTACACAGCACAACAAACAATGGTGACTTGTCATGTTGTTTGAACCCAGCAACATGATTTATTAAGCACGCTGGTTGGGTTCAGGCAACACAACAGGGCACCCTGGGCTTAAAAGCGATCTAGCTTATGGTCTTATGTGATCACTCGGGGCTGAAGGGCGTTGGCCTTGGGCCCCCAAACCCACTCCAAGCTGGTTAGCGGAGTTAAATGCACCCTTATCACTGGCTGGGACCGGGCTGCTCAACTCACCCTTCTCCATCCCGGATCCGGCCTATCACTCCAAGGGCTCGATCCCCACGCAGGCTACGCCTCCACCTCGCCCCGTACAGCCTCCTCCCATGCAAGCCTGCCCCGATCGGTCCTTTCCCCGCGGGCGCCGCCGTCCTTCGCCAGCCGCGCAGCGAGCCAAAGCGGTAGCGACGGCGCCGCAGCTCGGCGGATCGCCGGAGTCATCCCTCGCCGCCTCAGCTCGCCCCTCTGCCTCGACGGCCGCCCGGGAGGCCCGCCCCGCGCCTGCCCGCCCGCCCAATCGCGGCGGCGAGGGGGCGGCCGCGGCGCGCCGAGCGAGCGATGTGGGCCGGGCCTCGCCGCTACCCCTGCCGTCGTTACCGCCGCCATGATGCTTGTTTGCTTTCAATGAGTGTGAGAAGGAGGCGGAGGAGGAAAAGGAGGAGGCGGCGAAGGAGGAGGCGGGGGGAGCCAGCTCTCCCGTCCGGCCCGCGGCAGGAAACAAAGAGCCAGGCAGGCAGCGCAGAGACGGGGATGCTGCAGCTACAGGTACGGCGGGGGGGGAGGTGGCCGCGGCCGAGGCGCTGGGGTGCCCTTCGCCTCTCCTCTCCTCTCCCCTGCGCTCGGTCGCCGCGGCGGGTGGCTGTGTCGGGCGAGGGCGGGGGTCGTGGCCCGAGGAGAGCAGCTGTCGGGCGGGAGGGGGCACAGAAGGGGAGGGGGTCGGGGTCGAGGCGGCTCGGCGGGAAGGCTCGGGGAGCGGGCGCGATTCTGGTGCGAGGCCGGGAATGAAGCGGCTTCGAGGTCGGGTGGGATGGGGGAGGGGGAGGAGGAGGAGGAGGAGGAAAGCGATGGCTGACTTTCCGGGGGCGGGGGGAATATATTGTGGGTCGGGATGTCCAGGGTGGCGGAGGAGCGGTCGGGAGGGCGGCAGGAGGTGTCGCTACGTTAAAAGGGAGGGGGCGCAGATATTTGTACGCTGGGAAACGGGGGCAGCAGCTGGTAAGAGGCTGACGGGCAGAGGAGGGGGCTGTGTTCAAGTCCTGGGGCGGGGGGAGCAGTGTTACTATTATAGTAATAAGGCGAGCGGGGCGAGAACGCGAACATTAGTACTCCAGAGTAAGAGAGGTGATATACTTCGAGGCGGTGGGCGGACCAGGGGGTATTGCAGAACGATGGAGAAAAATATCGGGCCCAGTCCTTCCTGGGGTATATGAAATGCAATAGTGGGGATACTGGGTGAAGGGGTGTGTGTGGGAGAGGGAGGAGTTATAGGGATTGATGACTACTAAAACTACGGGCAAGCAAACTGTGTTTGTGTACAACAGCTTGAGCGGGGGCCCTATTGCTGTGAGGCATTGTCGAGGGAGGGTGGCGTGTTGTTGTTGCTTTTGTTTTTAAATTTTTCATTGGTGCCTGCATGTTGTGGTGCTGGCGGCGGCTTGTGCGTTTGGAGCCCGTATAAAGGCATGAGGGGTTCTCTTCCAGGGAACCAAAGCTGCATACAGGAGATTGGCAGGCATGATCGGGAGTCCCTAGAAAGTTTTGGGGTCTGGGAAAGAGGATGGATGTTTTGCAGTTGAAGGTGTGGGTGAGTGAGCCTTCCTGGAAGCTATGGGAAGGTTCTGGAGGAAGTGACGTTCTAAGTGCTTGTTGACAAGAACTGGGACGAGGGGGGGAGAGGGTTGTTCGGCGTGTGAGTGTGAGGGGGAGAAGACCTTCTTGGCTTGATGCGTCCATATGCTGCAAACTTGCATGCTTACTCTGATGAGGAGTACATAACTACGAGTATCTCTAAATGCTTTGTATAAGCTATGAGAAAATGACAGGAGTAGAAGAAACAAGTTAACGCTGAGGACTTGAATACTTCTGGTCTGATCTAGTAAGAAATTAGCAAAAAGGAAGGGAATTCTGCCCCCTCCACACACACACACACACACACACACCCCCATGATCACTTCCTGAAAGAAAACTTAGTTTAAACTCAAAAACCTAACTCTGAGAAAAGTCATGCTTTAGACATATAAACCTGATGCTTGGAAACAAAATCTGTGTATCATGATAACTTCAGCTTGCTTGCTTGCACTGCTGTTGTAGCTGAAAGGCCTAACTGGCAATAAGGAGGCCACAATAGACAGCCTGTGTCTGAAATAGAAAGGAAAGAGCTTTAGCTGAAGTGATTGACAGTTATGCTGCCCAATGTAATGAGATGGGGGCAGGATTCTTGTTTATGTGCAGGTAGGTGGCTGGGCCACAGAGACTGTAGAACACACATGTAGGGGTAAACAGGAGGATTAGAATGCAAATCTCTTGGGGGCTACATACAAAAGCAAGTCTGTTCTGTGTGTTTTTTGGTATCTAATAAAGGACAGTATTAGGCTGCTGGGAAAGTTAAACTTAAGCATGCAGTTTCTTATAGTTAAGAAAAAGGGGGAGATTCTGAAGGGGAAGCAAGCAATTGTCAATTTGATTTAAAAATCTCTTTGCTACATATTATTATGAAGAGTGTGTGTGAGAATCATGGTTTTACATGATTCTCATGTTCATTTCAGTGCTATTTCCATACTGGCTGGAGGCTATACCAGACCTGTAAAAATACAGGACATAAAATATAATGATTTGTTTGGGGTAACCTGCCTTTTGTCTATTTTAACAATCTGTAAGTGAGTTGATATTTAAAGATTTATTAAAATTGTGCAAGGCAAAAGGGTACTTACTGTTTTCCAAAATCTAGAACAACATGTTAGGATTTTTTAAATTTTTATTTTAGTAAAACTTGTGTCCTTTCAGGATATTGCAACTTTATCTAAATCAGATAATGAGAATATTAATATTCCCTTGTTAATCTAAAGTGGGCAAAAGTCTTGCATTCATATGATTATGCTGAACAGCTTTCCTGCAGGGAAATTACTTGAATTATGTTCTAAACGATTAAATATTTTTGCAGTGTTTTGTAAGTTTCCAGGTTATTTTCTTTTCTGGATTTTACCGTGTTGGCAACAGAGATTTAACATGCAATAGGATTAAGGAATGCTTATGGTAATTATTTGGTATGAATGTAAAGGTTTGCAAGTGTTGACTGGTAATTGTATTGTGTCTTGCATTTCTTTTTATCCTAGAGCAGGTCCTGTAATTGGGGATTTATCAACATTTCCAGTGGGGTAATTTTACAGAATTATCCACCCTGTGTTGTCCCTGCTGGTTCGTCTGGACTCTGGAGTGTTCTGCTAGGAATGAAGCCTTCTCTGGGGGTTATTCACACTATTGCTGAAATGGAGCCATTCACACATGGATTAAAGCTTTATTCACTTTTCACCTGAATCACTTGGATCAGTTCATTTTTATAAAGGAGACTGATGTGCATCACTTTTCTGTGAACTCTTGAATACAGTCTTGATAAATTCAGGCTGTTTGTGTTTGTCTCATTGAGGAAGAACTGAAATAAATAAATGCATGGGCAGGTAATGATTTTTAGTATTTTATGTCCTTAGATGTTCATTTTTCATCCTTAGTTTAGAATTGATAGGGCATGTTATAATGGTAGAACTGTGCTGTCTCAAATAGCAATAGGAACCACAGTTCTGTCAATATAGTAATTACAGTTAGCTATATTTTTCTGGTGGAAATGCTTTTTGAAATCACACTTGGGAGACATTTGAATGAACCAATGAACAAGATAAAATTTTGTTATTTGGTTATCAAATAAGTCAAATAAGTTAAATGATGTCATAATGGTATGGCTGCCTTCTCCAATTTAATTTCCTCAGTCTATTTTAGACTGCAATTCCCTTCATCCCTGATCAGTAGCCATGCTGGTTGGGGCTGATGGGCATTATAGTGCAAACATCTGGAGGGCAGGGCATCAGTTTGTGAAAGCATTGGTTATGCTGATGTTCAGATCTTGCATATTCTGGAACAGTGTGGGATTAGGAAAACGCTGGCTTGTTCAAGCTAAAGTATGTCCAAGACAGATTCTATGAGCTCAAAATTTTACAGTGCAAATGTGTGCATAGATTGAGTCTGTGAGAATTGAACTCTTATTTGTGTGTAAAAATTGCATCCATTCTGTTAACACTAGGCATGAATAAGTATGGAGCCGGCCATTGTGATTCTCCATATGTGGAACTGAAGCTTTACAAAGTGGCTAAGATGGCTTTGGTATCTGGGATGAGTGCATAAAAAGCTAACAGGATATTTGAAGCCTTGGCCCCCTTTTCCCCTAGGCCAGCCTTGGCAGCTGACCTGAAGAAATGTTACTCCCATGGTTTTTACTCCTAGTACTGGAGGATGGATGTGTAGGGCATGTCATCCCTCATTCCTTAGGAGTAAAATGTGACTAATAAAACACCTTACAATCTAGAAATGAACTTCCTCTGCCTGCACAAGTTCCCTTGGCTTGTATGCTGAGTGTGCATGAAGCAACTTTGCCTTCTGTGTATGCAGCACAGAAGGTACATCAGGGTGATGGTGAGGTAAAGTAATCCATATGTATGCCACAAACCTGCTTCTTGCTTTCTGTGCTGGATATGCAGGAAGGGCTTTGCCTGCTACATATCTAGTGTAGAAACCAAAAAGCCTGGCAGTAAAGGCATGTATCTCTCTCCTGTACTTGGCCACCATGTTTCTATGCCAGAAATTCGGAAGACTGTCTTATGCTTCCATCATAGGAGCCAAATAAGGTGGCATTGGTATATTGTGCCATTTCTGTGCCATCAACCCATTGTATTTCTGCGTGGCATATGGATGAAGTAAAGTTCATTCTTGAACAGCTAGTCCAGAAACAAAGCAAGCTAAAGTTTGAAGCATGGAATCAAACTCTATCACTTTACTACTAGCCTATCATGTTGCTGTAGTTAGATGTGCAGGAGAGTCATAACAGGATGGTAGCGGAGGGAAGGTGTGTTTTCCCTTCTGCTGCCAGCCTTCTTAGTTTCTGTTCTGGATTTATAGGAGGGAGATCCACCTCCAGAATATCTAGAATGGAAATGTAGTGGGCTAGCAGAGGAGGGATTGAAGTGTTGCATGCTTCCTTTGGCTTGGCTTCTGCTGGGCTGAGAAAAAAGGAGCTTTCCTTCATTCTGCCCTGTGTAGTTACACAGAGAGTAACTAGAGAAAGGACTGAAAACTCCATCCCTCTTCTGGCATTCCTGCTCATTCACCTGGCTAAAATTCCTAGTTGTTTGTATGCTTATAAGCAAAAAAAAAATTATGGTGACCAGGGAAATGGTTTAATCACAAGGCTGTACTAGGCTGTCCATCTGGTCCATCTGTATAGTTGGTATCCATATAAATAACTGACCAACCTATCTTAAAAGGATATGGAACTAATGAACAGTCAGTGAAGTGTTTGAGACGTAGTGTTATATAAATGTAAACACTTCATGATCATACATTCAAAGTAAACTCAAAATTTCATCTGCAGTCATGGCAGCGTTCTAATCTCTACCTAAAATACTGTATGCAACCTACTTACTTACTTCAGACTGAGGTGCAGTACTAGACAAAGAGTACAAAAGATTGTTATTAGTGTAGCACTAAGGTACTGTTTTATGACTTCTCACATTATAATTAGGCTGTAATGTAAAACTTCTCTTTGCACATAAATTCAGTTCTTATGAATTCATGTAGTTTTTGCATGTAGCTACCTTAAAGCTAAGAAGTCAATGTGTTACAAATTAGACATGTCTATTACTTGTGCATGCATGGTTTAACGTACTATTAAATTGCATTAATTATTCCATAGAGACCTAAAAATAAATTGTCAAGTTTAGTATTGATGTCAGAGTCCTTCATTTATTTTTGAAAAAGTAGCTAACCTCTGGAAGTGTAGGTAAAACATGATTAGCGATTGCTCTTTAAAGAAAAAGTCTATAGTATGATGGGCTGTCAAAATAGAACCTCATTTCTAGAACTGTCTTATAATTTTTGTTGGAACATAACTTTTTTTATAGTTGCTTGCCACATTGTTCTGCCCATTTATAGTCAGAGTTTCTATGTCAGTTTTCCCCAAGATATGAGGAAAAAAACAAGAACCATGTTGGCTTGATGCATACTTTTTTGTTCTTAGTACATTTGCACTCAGATATACAACATAAAAAATAATGTATATACAATGTAAATAGAGGTTACATTTCCAGTGTGTTTTATGTGACTGTTTTTATGTGCATTTGCATGGCTAGGTATTCAGGATGAGGTTTAAGGCTGAATGTACACTTATCAGTGACAGAGTTGGCTCAGGCCTTGAGCATAGCAAGACATTCAGCGTGAGATTAATTTGCCACAGATAAATAGCTACATGCAAAGTTGTGGAACCAAAGCAACATTTAACCAAAGCAGTACACAAAAGATCTTGAAACATTCTATGAAAACCACTGTTACGCCTACATAAAAAGAGATCCCCCCCCGCAAAAAAAAGTGTGGGAGAAAGGAACGTCAGAATGAAATTCTGAAGTTCAGAACTTGTCCCAAACAGAATGAGTCATGATCACATAGAACTGACATCTGAGAAGTTTTGTGCATGTCGTGCACTTCTGCACACTACTGTCAAGAAGGTCTGGAAGTAGCAAGTAGGATGTAAACCCTTTGCTTTAATACGGCAGTTCTGTGCAGCAGACTGTGAAGATTAACGGCCTCTTGGAATTAGTGGGGGAAGGCTTTTCTGTGCACCACAAAGTAATTTCTCTGTTACAGTGGTCAGCTGCTAAAGTTGTTGATGCTTTTTCTTTTTAACCTTTAATCATAAGCCTATCCTGTTCATAGCGGTTAGGTCTGCAGTGTTCTAGGCCTGTCCCAGCACTATACAAGCTGCCAGTTTGAGTTTATATGTGCTGTGAGGGTGTAAGAACATGTGGACACAGCCTTGTATTTCACTGCATTTCCCCAAGCTGGGAGAAAGCAGACTAGTGGTATAGTGGCTGCCAGTCACAGATCATGTGGTGAGGCAAGCAAATAGATCAGAGTTTTCCAGCAAGAGTCTCAGGTTATCACCTTTGCACAATTGCTGTATTGAGGTGACTAGTATTGTACTGTGTGCAGTATGGCTGTAGGACCTTAGGTTTCATATGCCACACATGACAACATAACCTTTCAAGATGAGGAAGTGTTCCTTGTGTGTGATTGCAGGTTACAAAAATTGTGAGGCACTGCAAATTGAATTGACATTATAGAGATTGAGGGTATGGGCAGTCTATAAGTTTGATAAAAGAAATAATATATTAAATTATAGATATATAATAAATATACAGGGAGTTCCTAAATTATGAACATCTGAGTTAAAAACAACCCATACTTATGAACAAACTGCCCTAAAGCCTATTGATGTTAAAAAATTACTGCAGAAAATCATCATCATGCAAGGGGGGATAGGAAAAGTTTACAAAGAATCACCATAGAGAGAATGCAAAAGGGGAGAGAGGGAGGCCTTCAAAGCAGGCCCTCCTGTGCCACCCATCCAGAGAGGGAAGTTTCTCCCAGCATTTCCTTGCTGCAGAGAAGAACCACTGGTGAGTTTGAGCCAGGGGAGCTAGAAATATTTGTGATTTTTGGCCTTTCATGGGGGTCCTGCACCCCTAACTCCCACAAATGTGGCAGACTGAGTCTATGACTTAAAGACAAATTTCTGTATTCTCAAGAACAGAATTCATTTGTAACTCGGGGCTTTCCTGTATAAAGAAGCAAAGCTAAAAAGTTAATAAATCTTGTTCAGAATGCCTGCCTTAATTACCATGGAACATAATGTAGATTTTTTAGATGGCTGTTAAGGTAAATATTAGTGTAATTTAGTCAGTTCTGATTTTTATACTCTGTGTGCCTTTCAGGCATATACCTATATATAAAATACTGAAAGGTTTTTTCTTCATTGCTTGTATCATAAGCAGCTTGTAGAGGAATTGGGACGGGAAAGATTTCAGCTGATGCCATTCTATGGTGATCAGGCTGAGCCTTGCCCATATTATGCAGTGACACAGCTGTTGCATCAAAATGGGCTTCCAGTTCTGTGCATTGACGCTTCTGAATTGCAAGGCATAGCGTGGGATTCATGCCTCTTTGTACTATACTACTTTACCCAATGCTATAATAATTGAAACACTAAGGCTGTGCAAAATGATGGTATTTTGATATTGCTTATGCAGTGGTGGACAGCTTAGGGCCTTCAACTCCCATCAGCTCTAGTCAGCATAGCCAGTGTTGAGGAATGGTGGTATTTATAGATCAACACATCTAGAAGGCCACAAATTGGCCATCTTTGCATTATAGCTTGCCATTGTTTTCAGCTTGAAGGTTTTAGATTGTTTTGAGTTCACAGGAAACTCATATCCAGGACTTATTCCTTGTGTGTATTGAGAGCATTCCTGCTTTAAAAATTTATACAGCCCGACCACCCTCAGCATGAAGATTTATAGTCCATATTCCCCATGATGTCCTGTTTGAAAATGAGAACATTTCTGCTTATATAATAAAACATTTAGGTCAGGAAAATAATACATGGTGCTACATAGTAAGTGCCCTTAATAACATGCTTATTGCTCGGTATTATTTCATTTTGGTTATATGGTACAAGTTCATTATCTAAATGTAGTTTAGGAGAAAAATGCCTTTGGGCAATCTTAGATGACTGATATTGCATGAAAGGAAGAAAGCTTTGGCAGATATTAAGTGCATTTCAGTAGCAGTAGGTTGGCATTAAAAGCCACTGTGTAAAGTAGTGATGAGACTTCTTTTGGAATACTGTCCATCTTTTGCATTTACTAGAAGCATGAGTTTAAATGAATGACTGCAAAGGAAACACTTTTGGAATGATTTGTGTGGAATGTTTTATTAGCTAATAAGAAGCGGATGAAATAAAATTGCTTTCTCTAATATGCTGCAGGATGATAATGCATCATGATTGGCCCATACATGTCAGACTTGGTTGTTCTCATTTTGTTCTTTCTGCACACTCCTAGTATGTGTGTTGTCTTGGTTTCAGCTTGCAACTTAAGCTTGTGTCTGTAGAAAAACTTGTTTCCAACCATAATTTCAGTCCATCAAATTCAATATTTCCAGTTCCTTATTGAGCCTTTTTGCTGAGTTTACAACATCTGGAACTGTTTAGCTTAGAGAAAAGGTGGGTGACAGGAAACATGATAAAGGTATACACAGTTACACCGTGGGGAAAGTGTATAGGGAGATTCTCTCCCTCTCCCTCTCCCTCTCCCTCTCCCTCTCCCTCTCCGATTACCAGAACCTGAGGCCATTCCATAAAGCTGGTAGGATACTTCGGGCAGATAAAAGGAAGTTCTTCATGCAGTACATTATTAAACTATGGAATTTACTACCACAAGATGTAGCAATGACCACGAATTTGGATGGTTTTGGATTGGGCAAATTGATGGAATAGCTATTGCTGGCTATTAGCCCTAATGTGTATATGCCACTTCCAGCATTGGGGTGCTGTGACTGTAAGCACCAGTTGATGGGGTAAATCATTGGGAGGATGTTGTTGAACACATATCCTGTTTGTAGTTTTCAGAGGCAGTGTGTGAACAGAATACTGGTCTGCTCATGTATGGCTGTTGTAAGGACCAGGTAGGGTCTCAGCTTGAAAATGACATAGAACATTTCACTTCTTGGTGAAACCATTGTCTCATTTTCAGATATTTGCTTATCCCCTGCCCCAGGTTTTTTCTACTCCTTAAGCTTCTCGCCTGCATATGGACCATTTTCCTGTTCAGTCTTCCACACCTCAAACAGCCTTTCCTTTCATTGCTAAGACCCACATCTATGCTGTGGTACTTTTCTAATGCAGTCATCTCCTTGCAAATGCAATCTCAGTGTGCATTAAGTGGTTGAATTATAGAGTTCAGAACATTACACTGTACTTTAGCTCAGATTTTAAGAACTGAAAAGGAAATAGGGCATTAAAAACTTTGTATGAGACATTCAGATAGGCTTGCCATTTATATGTTGTTGCTTCTGGAACTAGTTCAGCATAAAGTTTGAGCCCTCACTTCTTGAAAATGTGGGAAGCAGTGACCTTGACTTTCAGGTACTTGAGTGTCTCTTTGCTTCTGTAAAGCAAGCTTAACTTGCTTCACCAAAATGACGAACTACTGTAAGTGCTTTAGGGGGTGACAGTAAAAATAGCAGGTGTTTCAGACTTTCTGTCTTGATAAGTTAAAACAATGCAAATAAGCTTTTAAGTCTACCAGTTTTTAGCTTATTTGCTACAATTCCTTTTCCTAAAATAGGAACGTTAGTCTAACTGGATTTTCTCTTCTTTTTCTTAATCTGTTTTGCAGCTCTCCTAGTGGTCAGCCATATGTGGCTTCCAATGTGGATTTGACTGGGAGTACTGCAAATCTGATGGCAGGGGGTGCAAAATCCACAGCAGCGTGAAATTTCCTTATTTTCCTGGCGCACTTTTACCGGTAAATATCCTGTGAATTTGGAAACCTTAATGTAGTCAACTGATAGGGAATTAGATTTCAAGGGAAAAAGTCTTGTTGGTTTCAGGTCATGCATCAAACAATTGTTCATGAATGTACAGTAGCCTCTGAGAAGCTAGGCTTGCAGATGTTAAAAAACCCCTAAAACTGATGAATATGCACATATTCAGACATTCTTCTTTTTTATTTGATTCAAATACAAGTGAAAATGTAATTATGCAAAATATACATAAAAGCATTAGTTCTGGACTAAGTATTTTAATTTACAGGCTCTCCAATGTTAGTGTCATATACAGAATGAGATCTTGTTTTTAAGGGGAGCTAGTGCATTACTTTTGTATTGTTAGGGCTTATAGAAGCAAACAGACAATAAGTGCTTTACAGTGGCACGTAGGAACCACATGCATGGAAAGTTAAATGTAGCCAAGCATTTAGTCTTTCAGTCAGCTGACTTCTGTTGTTTAGGGTTTGTGATAGCCTGCTGCTGAACAGGAAATACTGATGGGTGGGATGAGTTTTGTGATTTGAACGTAAAACTGAATATCTTGTGTGCCCATCTCTATCCTCGACATATGGAGATTTTTTTTTCATATTGTTAGTATATACTTTGGAATTTGTTAAATCATTCTTATGCCCTTAATACTGTTGGTTGTAATGTGACTGGGACTTGAGATTTGAGGTGTCTCACCTGTAGGGTTAAGCAAGATGACACCTGTAGACACCTCCAAGGGTACCGCAACAAAGCCAATCATTCCCTGCCTCTTCCCATTTGTTAAGTATAAAAACGTCAGGGCAGTTCTATCTCATCCTTTCTTGCTATTTCTATCCTACCATCCTTAGATCACTGTTTTTCCCTCACTTAGTTTCTAGCTTTGCCCCTTGCCTTGCTGTTTCCCCACTCTTCCCAACCTATAGCATTGGTGTTTCTTTCCCAGTTCCTTCCACCTCTTTAGCTTACTTCTGTCTAGCTATACCCCCATGGCAGCCATTGTGTGACTAACAGGATTTTCTGTGGAGTCATTTTGTGGGAGTGTTCACAGTAGTTTTTCAAATTTTTAAATATTTTTACAGGTCCAAAAGGTTGGAGACGCCTGTCCTGCTTAAATCTGCTAGTGAGCTCCTAAAATCTAGTGATATGTGATTTCTTCTCTTTTATTTATTTGTTCTTTTATATTCTTTATTCAGTTTTAATTGTCTTTGCTGTGCAATTGCTTTTAATTTAATTGCATTTTTTGCTGAGAAAAAAATGGAAGTTAGACCCTTTTGGATCTCCTGGACATCTTTAGCTTTCATTACCACTGTCCATGGTATTCTCCTGGGAAGACTGGGAGTTTCAGACTAGATGGGAGTTACGGACACTATTTTACAGTGGTTCTATTCCTAGTTGAATGGTCATTTCCAGACAGTGGTGCTGAAGAATTGCTGTTTTGTCCCTTGCAATTTTACTAAGAGGCTCTACGGATCTCAGTTTTGTCTGTCATGCTAGCTACTTGAATCCCGTGGGAAAGATTGTACAGTGAGGTGAGGACTGAGGTGTCATCAAAATGCTGATAATACACAGTACTGTCTGGCCTTTTCATTCAGACTCAGGTGAGTCAGTGGATGCCCTGAGTCTCTGTGTTAGCAGGGGTAATGAACGAGATAGGAGTTAAGGAACTGAAGCTCAGTCTAGACAAGATGGAAGTACTGTTGGCAGGTGGTTAGTCTGATAAGATGGCGGGTGTTCAACGTGTCCTGGAACAGCTCGCACTTCCTCTGAAGGTTCAGTTTTGTCGCTTGGACATGTTCCTGGTTCCACTGTTGCCACTGGAGGCCCAGGTGGTCTTGGTGTCCACAAGCATGTTTTTCCCTCCAGCTTAGAATGATATATACCAGCTGTGACTGCATCTGGATAGAGGTAACCTGATGGCATTTCTCCATGTTCTGGTAACTTGCTATCTAAATTGCTGCAATGTGTTGTAAGTGAGACTGCCTTTGAAGACTGCTTGGAAACTTCAGTTAATTTGAAACTGCTGCTAGGTTACTAACTGGGTCTGCTTTATAGGATCATGTGACAGTGGTGCTTTTGTCAGCTGCACTAGCTTTCAACCCATTTTCAAAGCCAATTCAAAATGTTGCTGTTGACCTTTAAAGCCCTAAACAGCTTAGATCATCTTTGGAGGCTCTCCCTCAAAGAACTCCATGCTAGGCAGGTAGCTACAAGATAAAGATTCTTTTCAGTGGTGGCACCCTGGTTGTGGAATGCTCTCTGCAAAGAGGTTCACCTGGCACCTGAGTTGTTACTTTGGCACCAGGCATTTTAGATACATACTTCTACCTTTTATGTCTGTTTTATCTATTCTTGCACTGATTTTTTGCTATTGTCTTTTATTCTCTTAAATACTGTATTGTATTTTACATTTTAATTATTTGTATTTTAGTCTTATTTAGTCTTATTGTTACCCATGCAAAGAACAATAATATATGTATTTTACTATATTATTGTTAGAATATAATAAAATGCATAACATAAATATGGAGCTGATGTGTAATGTCATGCCAGTAGCAGGAGCGGTTTTCTGGCTTGGCACTATGTGGCTGGCAACTTATCATGTTTGCTAGAAAACATTAACTCGTAATTCAGTGGTAGAGCTTATGTTTTGCATGCAGAAGATCTCAGATTTGGTCTCTGGCATCTCCAGCTAGAATTAGGAAAGACTCTTACCTGGAACCCCGGAAATCAGCTACCAGCCATTGTCAACAGTATTGGGCTAGACGGACCAGTGGTGTAACCTGGCATAATGCTGCTTCCTGTGTTCCTTTCATATGGATCTTAGACGCTAAGGGACATAATTAAGCAATGACAAACAACTAACTCTGCAGTCATAGTTTACGTAGTGTCTGGATATGGTTAAGGGCTGATCAAGTTCTTCATCTGGGTTTCCTGAATAGTACTAGCCAGTGTTGTTTCTAAATCAGACTGTAGTTTTAGAACAACATGCTGAAATGATTGCTGTGTAAGTATAGATAGGTGAATAAACAATCAATTTTTATGATATTTCACCATGGAAAAATGAAAGCATTCAAGTAAGATTATTGAGGTTCAAAAGTTCTCTGGGTGTTTCTGGGCAAGTTTTTTTTTTAAATGATACCATCACTATATTTCCTTCATGGAATTATATGGAGTCTAGTATCTTCCAGTTGTAACTTTTCCGTGATTTCCTAAATCTACTTCTTTTACTTAACAGAAAATCTATTAAGGAAGAAAATATGCTATAGCTGTACAATGCCTCCTAATAGGACTAGGAACGCTCTGTTTCTTTGCTAGTAACTTAATGATTGAAAGATAAGAGTCAATAAGTTTGCAAAAATGTTTACTCCTTGGTAGCTATTTGTATATGCAAAAGAACAACAAGTGTTAAAGGTACTTCTGTGTCAGGAAACAAGTTCTCAGACGTCTGAAGAAAATATTCTGTAATGTAAATATTCAAATCTGTATTGAAGTTGAAGAGACACTTAGAAGGATTCCTTTTTTATATATCTGAAGAAAGATAAGCAGCCCATGAGGAAGGAATGACTGGTCCCATGATGAATACTTTGTCAGTCAGAAGAATGGGGATGTGGTGTAGTAGAGAGAGTGGTGGATCCTGTTGATGGCTAACTTCCTATAACCAGATTGTGCATTCGCAATAGTTGTTGAAAACTGCCCAGTGGGCTAAAACTAGGATGTGCAACACAGTATCTGTGAGTACCAATGTTCCTGTGGGTATCTCACTTGTTGCGTGAGAGGCTTCCTGTCCCATTGGATTTTATTTTTTTTAAACTGTTTAAGCTAAAAATAAATAAATTGGAAGTTGGTCTTCTAGCACAGCAAAGTGCTCCCATCCAGTGCCATCTTTGTTTTGATAAGAGTAGTTTTGGGTTCTAGAATTCAGAAGGAACCTCTGCTTGGTACTGAGGGCCATGGTCAAGTTACTTACCTTTTTGTCTCACCATTTTTGCATTCTGGAAAATCGGTTTTGTAATAAGCGATGCCCAGAAGAGTAACCATTATGGGATTGATTTATCGAAATGAATTTTAAAAGGTCTGCCCCTCTGTATGGTCTGTTCATGGTGTGTGAAACACACTTGTATTCTTATATGTTGGAATTATGGATATCTAACCAAATGAACTTTAAATTGAGAATATGTCATCTTAATCATACTTGCTGGGTACTTTTTAATGTTATCTGAACAAAAATACAACCATCATTTTTTCCCAACATAAAAAATGGACCACCTTTCTTCCTCTTTCAAGGAACTGAAGGTGGCTTGTATAGTCCTCCTCCACTCCAATATATCCTCACAAAAAGGTGGGTTAGGCTGAGAATGAGTACCCAAAGTCAGTCAGTTTGGCACTAGAGTCCTCAGTCCAGCACGCTAACCACTACGCAACATTGGCCTTGACAGAATAAGGATAATGTTGCCCTGTTGCCAGCTACCACATAACAGTAAGTCAATTTAATAGCTATAAATGCTTAATGTTTTGGTATGTAGAGTAGGCTTAAAAGCCAAAAATGAAATCTGCATTTGGATTTCTTTAGCTCCTAGGGCTTTATATTTGGTTTTCCCTGGGGCTGCAGGAGTGGAAAAATTGAGCTTTATTATTTGGATGTACACATAGTCAGCATTATTCAGGCCATGAAAAAGGGGCATGCAGCCGTTATGTCATTTTAATGAGTAATACTGTGTTAGTCTTAGTAAGCAAGACCTGCTATAAAGAGGTGCCTAGACTTGGGTTCTATTAGGGCAGCTTTTGTTTCTTGATATAATGTTGAGATCTGCAGAAAGGGATATTATTGATATTATTATTATTATTATTATTATTATTATTATTGCTTTAGTAGATATCCTTCCCAGATCACATTGCTTTTTCTGTAAATGCTAGTGCAGTATTCTAACAGTAAACATATAGACTGATGAGTAAAATCTGTTTCAGAATTATTGTGCATCAAGATTTTGCTACATCTCAAATTTCTTTGCTTATAGTACTGTGCTGCACAAGCCAAAACCTCATTGAGGCATGAATGACCAACAAGTATTGCAAAATAGTATGTATCTATTCCTGTGTCCATGAAGCCTCCCCCCAGAGTTACGCCTGTCCCCCCCCCCCTTTGTTCTGACAGGTGTCAACTTGTTTAGAGGACTGTTTCAGGTCAGAGGAAAGGTCCAGCTAGTATTACATTTCCACAGTGGCCATCTCAGTGTCTATGGGAAGCCCAGAAGTGGAACATGGGAGGGACAGCGTTTTCTTTAATGTGTTCCCCTACAAGTGGAGCATGCATTTTTAAACATTTTATTATTGCATGCATATCTCACTATTTTTTCCACCAAAAGAATCCAAGGCTGTTTACATGATCTTTCTCCTCTCCATTTTACCTCACAACCTACCTGTGAGATAGGTTATGCAGAGAATCAATAACTGGCCCAGAGTCACTCAGTACATTTTGTGGTTGAAGGAGGACTAGAACCCAGACTTCCTGCATTCAGGTCAACACTCTGACTACTGTGCTCCTATAGAACCTTCACAACTAGTAGCCTTTGGTAACCTTGTCCTTCATGAATTTTCTGATAGTGTTTTCGCAGGTCCACTTTCAGTGTTGTGTAAATCTAGACTTGACCTGTAATGATCTTAATTATGAGATAAATTTCCTGTCTGGAATTTTGACTGTTGGGGCCAACAATCCTCTTTTTATACTTCTCCAGTACCTGGCGTTCTTTGGATGATGTGTAGACCACAAGTTTCTAAACAGTGTGGAAATACCTTAATTCAGGTACAGGAAGTATCTAGAATGAACCAAGTTAGTAACATGTCTTTGTTTTTGTTCTTGTTTTAATCTAAAGTGGGTTTTGCAGATCATTGTTTGCTAAAGCAAGACTATGAAGGTCTATATAACTTACAGTTGACTTTTAAGGTTAAAGGTTTAACATTTGTGTGTTTTGGAAAGTGTTGAATTTGAAAATTATATGGAAACAGGATGGATTTGATTTAAATCAAATGGATTTAAATGCCAGTTTAAATCACTAGTCAGTAAGACTAGATTTAAATCATGGTTCTCTGCTTAATTTGCATGCATGCAGGCCTTACCTGTAGGTAGAGGAACTTCATTAAAATATTCCCAGACTGGGTCTCTTTTGCGACCTGCTGCCGCTATAGGGTTTCTCCTCCAGGGAAAGAGTAATATGATAAAGCTCAGACTGTACACAAAAAGATCCAAAGGCTTACTTGTTTATTTTTTTAAAAAATGCATTATTTTATCCACTCTTTATAGAAACTTTTCCTGTATTTTCATACCATATTCTAGTTCAAATTTATCCTGATAAAAGTGCTATATTTGATCACTCCAAGGCATAAAAAAATCTAATTCAACTTGATTCTCTGATCACAAAGGTTAATTTGTTCTAGAAAAGTGCAAATGCCTTAAAGTGATCTAATATAGCCTGTTTGTTTATCTTCTATTTAGCAAATGAAGCTTGAAAAGTACTCCATGTTATGTTTTTGTCCCAATGCTTGTATTCCGTATATCACAAGTACTTGACTTGAAATATTTGAGGAGGAAAGCTAAGAGACACTAAAGTTTATTATTTATTTAAAACTTTTATATATCATCCACAACTGAGGTCTCTGGACGGTCTTATAATAAAGTGGAGCTCAGCATCCAGTTGCAATCCAGTGTCTCTCAGACCTTGGAAGATCATGGCTTTCCTGTGCAGAGCAGAAAGAATACAGAGGCAAAGGTTTCTTCCATGCTTCTCCCAGTCCAAAAGCACTTAGGCAGTGGATTTTGGCCCTCAGGGTGTGGAAGGGGAGGCTGAGGTCTCCTCCATTTCCTGCTCCTCCTCTCCACAGTGTGTCCATAAACCATAACTGAGGTTCTTGCAACCTAATTCTTAGGTGTTACTTGATTGTAAAGAGTTGTTTTCTGTCATAACATAAAGGGGATTCCTCAGACCATTGCTAAGATGTATAAAACAAGTTGTAACAAGCTTTGGATATTTATGTTACATATTTATTATGAGTTGGATAAGGAATTTTGGGTAATGGGCAGGATAGAAATTTGATAAATAACTTTCCTATGCACATGACACCTTCATTAAAAGGGTTGTGTGATCACTTAGATTTCAACTATATCTGAAGAATTCTCACCATGGTGAAAACCTTGATTAAACAATGCATAGCTTCTTTGTTGCTATAACTCTTGTCACTCAGTATATTTTTATAATCCGTCATGATTTTGGATTGAAGGAGCAAATATGTATAAATAATGTTTTGGCCAGATGTAAGATGTCAAGGGAATTAACACTGGGAGTGATTACAGATCCTATCCCTGTGTTGTACTCTGTAAAACAATATTCCTTATTCATTCTGTATGTTTAAACTCAATTTTGAGTCCATTTAAAATTCATCTCATTAAATACTTAGCAAGGATATACTTGACCCCAGTGTCTGATAAGCAAAGTATTTTTTCCAGATGAAGGAGTGGGAAAGTTTAGCTGTGTTTCAGCACTAAAGCATGGTTGAAACACCAGGTTTTAGAAGCAGTATGCTTCCAAAAGTAAACACAGAACCTTGTATAATTGTGCTAAGAAAGTGGCAAGCAGTGTGCATACCCAACACCATTCTTAGAGTTGCTTTTTATGTTGCTCCAGAAGAAGCATGTTACCCAGATGTGACTGGCTAGTGAATTGAAGAAAGTAAGGAAAAGGAAAAGTAGGTGCTGACTTGGCCCTGTGGGGAAGAAATCTAAAGCTGGGCCTGAAACCATTTTGCAGTTTGACACATTTTGCACTACTGTGGACTGTTTTAAGTTCAATGGAAATAATGTTACCTGTTTGAATTCTGAAAACTATCCATGCATTCATCTGTTGCAGTACTTGTGGGACTATGCTATGCATTTTTGACTTTGTATGAGATGGTGGTAAGCTTGACAAGAAAAGTAAGCAGAGCTTTAACCTATGAAATGTTGTGACCAATAGCTAAGTTATTTATCTATCTATCTATCTATCTATCTATCTATCTATCTATCTATCGCATTTCTAATCTCTCTAGCAACTAATGGTCTCTGGGAAAATTGCAGACAGTTAAAGATTAAAATGTTATGAGCCAGTTTCCAGGTAGACGAGAACAGAAGATGAATGGTTTGTTTAGCAAGCAATGAAGGGAAATTCCCACCTTCAATTTTTTGTTTTTACATTTGAGCAGCAGAATACTTTGAATTCTAATCTGGCACTTAGTATTGCCCATGTGCCTGGGGAGAAAAGCAAGGGAAGATAAAATAACATGAATACACATGTGGTTTCCAGAAATAAGTTATAACATTACAAAATCAAGTTATAATTGCTCTTGTAAATAGCATAAATAAACTAAGAAGTGGTATAAATGCCATTTGGTAGTTTTCAGATGTATTTTAGTTTTTTACCTTTACCTTTTGTAACACATACCAAAATTTTGCTTAACTGTGGGATGGAGTGAGGAGAAGAAACATGGAATGGGAAATAGTTGGATGAAAATCCTTTTAAGTTAAGTATGTAGAAATGCTGACCCAGATCACTAGCTATATCTTGTGGCCTATAGGAAGGTTGACATGTCCCTGGTTCTGGGGGATCCTAGACAGACAGTGAAAACAGGAGATTTATTAAACCTTCACCTCTTATGCCTGGGAGGCTGATTTTTGGAAGACATTTTGATCTGCATCTAATGGGGTACTAGCACTAATGTAAATTATGTTGTGCTAGCATAAGCAACTGCTAGCTCAATGCCAGTGGTATTTGCTGGTGTGACAGCTTTCCTGAAAGAGGTTACTTATACTTCTGCAATGTAATTTATTTTAGCACTAGCACTCAATTGTATATGGCCTCATGTATTGAATTCCACTGGTGGAGTAGACTCTGTGCAGAAAAACAAACACATTGGTCATATTCAAACAATCTTGAAACCATGGTTTGGAGGATGAGGAAAAAAAGCAATAAACTTGGGATCCCATGCTCCTTCCACTTGTTTAATTCCTCGTCATTGTTCATTCCTGCTTCTCTAAAGCAGGAATCTGAAATATGGCCATTCTGTATGTGGTCTTAATAAGGACTTTGAATTGATAAGGACTGTTTGTTTATTTTTCTTAAGCACTCTTAAGTTATTTGTTTTCCGTGTTATAAATATCCGAAGTACATATTATAAAGTTAGTGTATGAAGACTCTTCTGTGACACAGAACATTTTTATTTGCTTTTGCTATGTGGAAATTCCAAGCAAAATGGAAAGGAGCAGGCTAGTTGATATGGGGAGCTCCTCGATACCATAGTTGAGTATTCTTAGTAGAATTTTATTGTAAAATAATTTTTTATCAGAACAAAGGCAGAAAATTTCTACAGGATAGATTTTTATCCAGAAGTTATCAAGACCAGTAACTAGTACAGCAACACAATCAGTGACAGCATGGATGAGACATGTTAGAACTTCACTTGTTTGGAAACAATTGTGATCATTGCATTAATCAAAAAATGGTATGTTACAACATTCTAGCCTAAAATAAAGTGCCTCTTTTTAGGGTTTGTCTTGATAACAAGATGGTTATGTTTCTTTGGACAACATGTTTCATTATTTTTGACAGGAATGCCCAAAGAAAAGTACGATCCACCTGATCCACGGAGGATGTACACAATTATGTCCTCGGAGGAAGCAGCCAATGGGAAAAAATCACACTGGGCAGAGTTGGAAATAAGTGGTAAGAGAAGGAAGACTGGAATAGAGTGGCTAGAAATAGTTAAGGGTTTAAAAAGTATTTCATATTAAACATAAATAAGCTGGTTTAACAGTTTTTATTACTTTCAGCATCTCAACTAAATTCTTCACCCTGTGACCTGCTTCTTACATAATGACAAGCCAGCTATTAAAAATGAGTGCTACCTGCAGCATGCTCACCTCTTTCACTTTAGTGCACAACCCACAATTGGGTCCTTCATAGGTTGTGAGGCATGATGTGCAAATTTGGACCACTGGGTGGTTTAGGGGCAAAACAACCTGACAGTTAACCCAGCCACAGATTATTATGGGTTAATGGCTACGTTGTTTAACCACTAAAGAAATCAGAGGTCTGGATTCACACAACATGTTGCACAATCTACAAAGGAGCTGTTCGTGGATTATGTGGTAAAGTTGATGATGCAGATGCACTGTGACAGTATGCTATTTTATGCATGACAACCCAGTATTTTTAAAACTAGTTAGCTGTCATTATGTCAGAACCAGGTCCATGTCAAACACTGTGTAAAAGGATTTATCAGTGCCAAACCCCCCCCCCACTTTTGAAGTAAAGCATATCTACAACACAGTTGGTCATGCATACTGTATTATTGTACAAACTCTGGGCATGATCCAGTCTGCAGTTAATGTAGCACCCATATCTGGAAGATTTTAGTAGACTCCTTTTCTTTCTACTAATCATACACACATATTGGAACCCATGAACTGCAAAGGGAGTGCACCCAGTATATACATCCAGCCCTACCTCTCTCAGAACATGTGAATTGGAACAAGAGTAAAAAAAATAGCTTGCACTGAGTGGAGGGGTAAGGTTGAACAGGTATAGAAGAGGTGTGCCTAGGACTCCCATTCACACAAGAGCTCTTAGTACTGCCTCAGTGCATACCTGTGAAAAGACACATGGGGGAAGAAAGCAAGGCTTTGATGAGTTTATGGGAATCCTCTGCTGGGCTTGCAGTGAAGTGGGAGGTACCTGTTGAATTTCTCAGCAGCAAAAAAAAGCATCTTCTCATTTTCTGGAGAAGAACTGTGTTTCTGGAGAGTTCTTTAAGCATTTTTCTGCTTACTGTCTTAGCAAGTGAGTAATCCTTAATTTCACAAATTTCCCTTATCTTTAAGCAAAAGGCATGCCAGGTACAGGATTAAAGCTTTTGGATTACACACCTGTGTAAAAGGTATATTTAATTACAGACTATGCTACTTGACCAGTTCTGATATGTTCTTGCTCAGGAAAGATTTGGATTGGGAAACTGGACATTTGATTTAAATTGATATAGCCTGTATGGAAGGTTTGGGGCTTGAGAAGTGCTTGGAATTAAAGGAAGTACTGGCTTAGGTCATGTGGGCTGCTTGAATAACCAAGTTGAAGCATCATAGTTTCACTCGATCTCTCCTGGTGCCTGGTATATTTCTGTAAATGTTTGGCGCGTCATGCATTTCTTTCTTAATGTAATCCCAAGAACATAAGAGCCCTGTCAGATCAGACCAGTGGATCATGTGGTGAGCATCCTCTGGTTTGTAGGCATAGGCCTGCAGTACCCCACTGTTTCTTGCTCTCCTCAGGCTTTGTATCAGAGTCATATGGCCTCTCAATGTGGAGTGAGTCTGTCCTCCATTATTTTGTCTAATCCCCCTTTAAAAGTGAAATTCTTGTGGCAGTGAATTATGTGAAGAATACTTTTTTGAGTCTGTTCTGAACCTATTGCCAAACTTCGGGTCCTGCTTCTACTAATTACTGAATCATTACTATCTGCAACAGCAGGGGGCTGATGGCCTTGGCCCCTTCCAATTTTACTATTCTCTGATTCTACCTACATGGTTGTTGATGGCAAGAGAATTACAGATGGTTGGTAATAGAGAACTTCCCTTTCCAAAAGCCATACTGAATTTTTTTCAGCAGTTTGGTTCTTGTAGAAGTTTAATTCATCTAACTGTAATAAAGCTTTCCCCTAATTTATCTGAGCTAGGTAATGACTGTAATTTCCTGGTTTCATTCTTTTAATGTTGGTGTGTGGACTATCTTACTGGCCTTTGGTATGGAGATTGATTTTAATGTCAAGTTTTGTCAATAGGTCAACAATTTAATAGTTCTAAGAATTTTTGGGACTGTGCCATCTAAACCTGATAATTTCTTTACTGTTTAATTTGTTAATCTCTTGTCACTGCTTCAGCTGTCCTCCTATACAGAGCAATTCAGATATGCATATTTGTCCAACATTTTCTACAATGAAGACTTATACTTGGGTTCTCACCATTCCACCAGATTTCCAGTATGCTATACATCTATATTCTCTTTTAGTACCATACACTGTATTTTCCTATGGTTTGCTTTTCCTGGTTCTGAAATTAGTATGCAAAACATTAAAAACTATCCCTTCCCAAGTGTTTCATTTATGTACAGTTTCTCTAATAACTGATTGCCTACTTTTTGGCCTCTTTAAATGAATATAATTTGTTCATGACCATTTCTACCTTATTGCTAGTTTGATGACCTGGTATAACTATGCTATCATCTCTATGGGATGGGTCATTTTTATTGCTTACCTACAATATAATTCGGACTCACATAATTGAACTCAGTGTAAGGATTGTACCTACAAAAATGAAATGCTTGTAAAAATAATTTTGGATCACAGTCTCATTGAAGGTTAAAATGTTGGGAGGAAAAGTAGCTGTGTTGAAACAAGCTTTTTTTAAAAAAAAGATACATAATTGAAGACAAACTAGTGTTGGTTGTATAGCAAAAGAGCAAGAGATAGTTTTAGAAATTATCTTGCTGTTTTGCTTGTATTGTAAAAGTACATAAACAAGTGCAGGAATGGATATAAAATATATGTTCTGTTGTCTTCCAGGGAAAGTGCGCAGTCTAAGTTCATCGTTGTGGTCACTGACCCACTTGACAGCTTTGCATCTCAGTGACAACTCCTTATCCCGTATTCCTTCAGACATTGCCAAGCTTCACAATCTGGTATATTTGGACCTGTCCTCTAATAAAATCCGCAGTTTGCCAGCAGAACTCGGAAACATGGTGTCACTCAGGTAAGCAGCTTGATTCTTTCACCTGTGAGTCCAGTGTGAAGCCACTTGAGACTTCTGCATCATACTGTATTGTGATTTATCAGGAATCCAGCCTTGGTCAGCTTCTAGCAATTTGAAGTGAAACTCTACTTGGTTTTTTCCAGGTTGTGTTGGAATAATTCAGACTTCTGGTGCTTAGGGAAGTTCTGGTTGCCAGTATTCTATACTCCAGATCATTTCTGCCCAAATGTGGGCTGTTAGGTGTGTAAGCATCTTCCACTGGAGTGTAATCCACTATTTTGCCTCATTCGCCCACTTACTCTTCCCAGTTTTTGGCCATCCTGGAGAAGGACTGTAATACAGCAGTGACTACTCCTGAAAATGTCTCAAATTTCAAGCATGTCCTGTCCAACAGTACAGGTGATTGCTTTTTTAAAAGGGAACCTAAAAGTGTCACAAGCTTGCTGCATGGGCTTCTACTTCAGTTCTTTTTCAGTTGAATGTAAACTTGGCTGTTTGGTGCTGTTTAAAGTTCAATATAATTTGACTTAAAAGATGTCATTGCCCTTTGTGATAGTTCCCACTTTTGTTCCTTTTTCAAAATTTAAATTTGCTAAGTATCAATTTTACCATCCTCAGGTGTCCCTTCATAAAATCATGTCATCCTGTGTGTACTCTTTTCCCATGGAAATAAGGATAGAAACACTGGGGTTAATCACCACATATTGAACAGCCACTATTTTCTGTTGGATCATTGGTAATACCAATGGCAAGACTGAATAGTAACTACTAATGTTTTGAAGGCTAAACCTTTATAAAAGCAGCATCAGCTATGGTATCCAATAGTATAAAAGGTGTGGTTTCATTTTGGTTGTTGTAAGAACAACCAGAGAAACAGCATACCACTTAAGCATTTTTGGCTGTGTGTTGCTATTTTGATGGTTCCTTCAGAGTTGATATTGGCAGTTTTTTGTGGTGTGCATCTTCTATTCAACTTCGTGTTATTGTATTGTTTTACTTTGCATGCCTTTGGATAGATAAAGAAAAGATGCCAATACGGTGTTAATTTTGCAGCAAGGCTGTGTCTGGTAGTCTGCCAGCATTCTCCATTAGCTAAACTATATATTAAAAAAATGCAAGGCAAGGGAATAATCATCTTCTGCCTTGCTCTGCCACTTGTTCCCTACTATTTCTACGCTTACCCTTGCTGCCATCTTTACTTCAAGACGAAGGAGTTGAGGGATAGCAAAATAAAAAAAAGTCATCATTGTCCATTGCCAGAATTAATCTAGTCTAAAATATTTTGCCCACAATGTATCATTTTTTTGATACCTAAAACTGTCATATTCCAGACAATGAGTTGGACCCAAGGTCACAGTTCTGCCAGTGGAACAAATACTACTGGTGGAATGGGACTTTTCTATCCTCTCTTGCCCTCTGCATTCCCTCCAGAGCAAACCTGGCAGCAGGGAAGAGGAAACAATGGTGGGAATATGATCTCAGAGCCCACCAAATGCATTTAATCTACTGCTATATCTCAAAAGAAGTTTGTGATATCTTTTTAAAAGACTTCATTCAGTGTATCTGTAAACAGTAAACTGAGCACCAAAACCAAAAAAGTGGTGAAGAAACCCAGCAGTTCACTCGTCGTGTAATGTGATTGGCTACTGTTTAAATGCTTTAGTGTGTGAGCACCTTACAGCCTTCATTAGTAATCCTGACTATGTAAATTGTTGTTCCATTGTTATTTCTTCATTAATAGTTTAACAAGATTATGTTTAGAAGACTTGCTAGCCAATTTGTTTTAATTCATCATGTTTAATATTCTCTTTAAATTCTACAAGATTGCTAATCCTTACTGTTCAGTTTTCCATTGTTTTTTAAGTGCCTTTTAGTGCAGATTCTCTTTTGTACTTAAACAATTAGTTAGTTTAAAATAATTAACTATATATTTTTGCTACTTTTGTCTTCATTTGACTTGCTAATAGGGAACTCCATTTAAATAACAACCTGTTACGAGTTCTACCATTTGAGCTGGGAAAACTGTTTCAATTACAGACACTGGGTTTGAAAGGTATGAACTTTATTTATTGTTTCGTGCCCTTTGTCTGCATTTTTAATTTTCTTTCATTTTGCAGCAACCATCACTTTCAAGCTGATATGTAATAAATAAAACTACTACTTGGAATTGACTTACTAAGAACTAAACACTGTCAAATTGTGCTGTTCACTGTATTCCTTCTTAAAGGACATTCCCCTCTTTATAAGATGCTGAACTAGCTCTGGTGTTTTCCACACCTATATAAACCTCAAGTATCTGTTATTGGCTCACATTTTTCCTCATCTTGCCCCATACCTGATCCCAAACTGATCTAGTGTGCTGATGGTTTTATGAAGTAAGAGTCTCAAATTTTCAATCATTTGCTTCCAGTGTTCTGAACTGAGCTTCCCATATATTAGCTTTAGAATCAAAAGCATCTAGATCCATATTCTTCTTGTGTTCTCATCGTTTTCCCTCTCCTGACACTTTTACAGGGAACCCACTTACACAGGATATTCTGAATCTCTATCAGGAACCAGACGGAACAAGAAGGCTACTGAATTACTTGCTTGATAACCTGGCAGGTACTGCAAAAAGAAGTAAGTAGTGACTTTCTAGCACATGCATTTCTGCCCTTTATAATAAATACAATCTTATACTTACTTTTGTCTTCCTTAATAGTTTCAACAGAACAGCCACCTCCTAGATCTTGGATTATGTTGCAAGAACCAGATCGAACGAGACCAACAGGTAGCAAGCACTGAAGTATCTGTGCTCAGATTACTGACTTTCCAGTTATGTTGCCTGAACAACATTTTAAAGTTCCCTTCTTTCTTCTAGCATCTAGTGTAGATATTCTAGAGGTAAAATGGTGGGTATATGTTTTAAATTGGAAAAACTGATACTTAAAAGGTTTCATTTTCTTTTAAATTTTGGAACAATATATTGCTTTATACATGCTGTCAAATCTTTTTTGAAAAATTATTTGCATGGTAGAAAAATACTTTTTAAACTCATTTCCTCATTCAACAGTCCAATCCTGTGGATCAGAGTTTACTCAGAAATAAATCCTTCCAATTTTAGTGGGGCTTAGTCCAGGTATGAAACAAACCCTTAGTTAATTTAGGGTTGAAATCAAGTAAGAGCTCCTTAGTAATTTAAAAGCTATCCTCATCTTGGAAAAATCCTTTAAATTTCTAATATAAGATGGCTTTAGATCTTGAAGGGGGAAGTTTCAACCATGGCCTTTGCAAGCAAAAGACATTCAAATCTAGTTTTTATTATACCAAAGCATTGTATACCAACCTTCTAGTGTAAAGGAACCACTTTGATTGCCACCATATTTAATTGAAACATTGAAAAGTGCAATGAATTAGAAGCCAGGCGGCAGCATTAACTATTACAACCAAAACATAACAAATGTTGGCTGAATTCGCACATCACCACAACCCCTGTCAGCTTGCAGTGGCATGTTCCAGCAATCACTTTGGCTATGTAAGCCCTATCTGGCATTTGCCATGCCGTGTCATATAATAAAACTCTGGCAGTTTGGGCTTTGGAAGGATTAAACAACCCTCATACCATCATCATCGCCTGGGTTTGTGTGACATGGGAAGCCATGGTAATGGTTGGCCAGGGTTTACATATTTGGAATGGTAGCTAATACATGTGAAGCATTCAGAAGATTAATTAACTTCAGGTGGTTTGTTGTGATATGCCTACAAGCCCATGATCTGCTACCCATAGTTGGGTGTCTATATTCTATAAAGAAAACAAAAATGCTCTTCAGGGTCAGCTGTCAGTGATATATTAGGGTTTGATTAGACAAAGCCAAAAACAGATTAGTTTATTGAAAGTTAATGAACCTTGTCATAATTTGTTTAAATTAGGTGTTTCTCTGTGTAAGAAAATTTCTTTGTTTTGCAGCTCTGTTCTCTGTCATGTGCTACAATGTTCTCTGTGATAAATATGCTACTCGGCAGCTATATGGCTATTGCCCATCATGGGCATTGAACTGGGAATACAGGAAAAAGGCTATTATGCAGGAAATCTTAAGCTGTAATGCTGATATCATAAGTCTCCAGGTGAGAAATGATTTTGTTCTTTATGTATTCATCATGTTTTAAAGTTTAAACCTGAGCAGTTTTAGTGTGTAAGTAATTGTTCTCTGTGTGACAACTATAGCATGCTCTTCTGTATTTCTTCTTTGTGTTAAAATGAGCCATCAGTTTCTGCTGTAAGAATCATTTTCATGTAGCTGCAATAGTACAGTCAGATGAGTAGGGAAATGGTAAAGGAGCACTACAAACCCCAAATATTTGTTGTCTCCCATTCCCACCCCCTATAGCAAGAAGCACATGAGAATCAATTCCGGATTTATCATTCTTGCATAGAGATTGATTTGATATCCCATCTGTTAGTAAGATAGGCTATGTGGCTGCAGTGGATGTGCCAAGCTAGCAGATGCTGTAAAAAAGAGTTGCAGAGCTTCTCTGCTGGGGATTACACAGGCCTTGAAGCAGAAAACAGGAATTAGGGTCAACCTTGCTGGCCAATGCTCATTTCATCAAGCCAGGAAAAATCTATTTTGTTGTATTAAATGTTATACCCTGTCGTATCTCAAGAACTGAAGGTTGAGCCTCAGTAGATCGAAATGGTACAAAAATATAACATTTCAACTAATTTAAAGGATCAAAGCTCTGCCCAGGTTCTCTGCCCTTCCCTCCCCCTTCTTGTGTTCTTTCTTTACTGTTGTTCTCATTGTTGCAAGCACCACATGAATTACAAAATTCTATTTTGTGATTATACAAAAAATTGATACCATGACTAGCATTTAAGAACTGCAGGATTCTCATTGCAGTTCTTTATGTGCTCTCACAGAATGCTGTGGTTCATTTATAATTTGGCTCATGAAGATGATTTTGTTGAAAAGGGTTTGGTGCCCAGTTGTCCATCCATGATCAGGAGTACAGTTTGATCTTGTGTGAGTTTTGTGGACTCCAGGTCTGATTGCTGTTTGACAGGGCTAGAATATAACTTGAGCTTTTTTATGTGGCCATTTTGTGTTTTGTCCAGTGCTTAGTCTCTATTCCTGTGCATTAGCTTCAGTTTATACTGTAAATGATTGACTGTTCTAATGCCATATTTTGCATCTCACAGAAATGCATATTCCATTTTCCACTTAGTTCTTCCTGTTGAAGTGCTAGACTATTTTTATTTATTACTGAAGTTAGTTTAGGGCACAATCCTATACATGTTTTGTCGGTAAAGGCTGTGCAGTGTCCAGCATTCCATAGTTGCTATGGTTGACTGACTAACGTTGGGAGCTGCCGGACTTTTTTCTGCCTAAACATGCATAGCATTGCATCCTTAGTGGCTTCTGCATGTCCTGTTCAGATGGGAGGTGGAGAACTGCCTTGCCAGATCACATGGTACAATTCTGTGTGGCTAGGCTCACTCCTTCAGTCATGTGAACCTGCATGCTTTTTGGGAACATTAAGATAACACACTTCCTTCATTCCTGTTTTGTGCTTGTGTTGTGGGTTCAACCATTTTTCAGCAATTCAGTGTGGTGACCATTTCAGTATATTGTGTCCCATTTCTTCATTAGGAAGCCTAAACAGCTTACATAAGTAGTATTTAGATGCTAATTGGCTTCATGTCAAGTTCGTTCCACACCCATTTAGTTTGAACAAGACTACAGTGTCAAGTGATCCCAGACCATTTTCTAGGCTTTCTCATTTGTGCAGTGCTGAATGATTGAATCAGAATTTACACATGGAAGCAAGGAGGAGGATTTGCTACCTCTGTTTTTGGAAATTGTTTCCACCCACTTTTCAGGAGTCTGGCCCGGCTGGGCAGCAGGGGAGATAGGGACAGGGACCATCTGCTTCTAACAGCCCCATTAGATGCACCTTTGTCAGGATCCAATGCAATATATAATTCTTAACTCTGCTTCTCTTCCCTCCCCTTCTCTGCCATGCTTTGTCCTTGTGGACACTATCAACACACTTTTTCAGAAGATCTAACTTAAAGTCTTGCTTTATAACAAACTTTTGGGAGAGCTTGATCTTGAGTTATTTAAGCCCCCTTTTTTTAAGTTGCACTGTATATCTGGTACTCAAGTAATTGTATGCTTTCTTCCATTTTAGGAGGTCGAAACTGAGCAGTACTACAGTTTCTTCTTAGCAGAATTGAAAGAACGTGGGTACAATGGATTCTTTAGTCCGAAATCTAGAGCTAGGACAATGTCTGAACAAGAAAGAAAACATGTTGATGGCTGTGCAATATTTTTCAAGACAGAAAAGTAAGCAAAATGTTGGTTACAGTGGCTGAAGCTGGCTTAATACTTTAATTGCAAACTAGCCCCATCTACAGTGACTTAAGTCCTCTGGCATTAGCTTTTCTCCATAATAAAAAACTGAGGCATTCCTGTAGTCCTGAGTTTAGTTACTTTGTATTATACATTCTTGTTTTGCAAAAAGGGATTTTGTTGGTGATCTGGGAATCTAGAAATACCCCAACTATTTAAGGCAACAGTTTCATTCACTAATGAAATATGAAGAAATATAGTTCTCATTCGTGGATTTTTGTAATAGTCCAGCATTTCCTGAGGAACGTGAAATGATTAGTATGGAAGTTTTCATAGTGAATAAAATGTATGAATACTGGAGCTTTTGTATAATGTTTAAAGATGTATATATCTGACTGCTATACCTTTTGATAACATACATTAAAATGTAATAAACATTTTTCTAGAGGTTACTTGAGTTGCTCCTAAGATAGCTGGTGTATCATAGTGGTTAAAGGACTGAACTATGAAATTGAGCATCTCTGATTCAAATCTCTCTGCTCATTGGGTGGCCGTAGGTATGCCAGTCCCTTAGGCTGAATCCTCCCTGCCCCAAATTTGTAGTATTACAGGATTGTTGCAAGAATTACACCAATGTTAAGTATTACTATCATTATTAAGGCAGTGTAAATCTAACAGTAAAATGTAATACTTCTTTAGAAGGCAGTATTTTTCTAGTGTATAAGGCTTGTACAAACAGTCCCTGGTTTAAACCTCACCTTGATTATGAATGCACCAGAAGGCTTTAAGCAAGCTAATCTCTAAGGATTAATTGCCCCCATCATGCAGTGTGTTGGCAAGACTGGGCACCAATGTACTGTGTGTCAGGCACTTTGAGAACTCTGAAGCACCATATAAATGATTAGTTCAGCACATCCTAATACTAGAACACGTAGGCGGTTGGCAAGTAAATGATTATATGAAGGCCGTACTAACATTGGCTCTGTGGCAGTGCAAATCATGTTGCACTAGCAGGAATGGCCTCTAACCCAACAGGAAGTTAGGACTTAATAGTGCAGCTCTGGAAACTAGCTGAAATTAGGACTTCTTTTCTGCAACTTCCCCTGCGTTTTCCTGTTCTGGAAGAACTAGCTTGAGCTAGTTGTTAGTTAGGGTATCAAGCTAGCTGTCATTCCTGCTACTGCAAGGGCAGTGTTGCATACTGTCCAAAGTATGTGTGCATTTTAAAAATTCATATATATCAGACCATTGTATTATCAGTATTTCACATTTTTGATGATCACAAATTTAAAGACATGTTGCAGTGGTTGTATATTCAGCACGTTTCTGAAAACTGGCACATCTATAATGAAAAATCCTTAAGATTGAGAGTAAAGATAGCCATTTTTCAAGTAGTAATGTTCCTCTGCACACATGTGGTAACTTTGTTTTCTTTTACCATTTTACCAAATGGTATTCTCCCTTGCCTGATCAAAAACCCAGCTTAAGTTGCAGCTGTGTATGTTGTAAGAAGCTACCATTTGCTCATTGCCTATACACTGAAGAAGTACTACTGTATTATTTCTGTATTTATAAAATGGAGAATAAATCTCACATGGAGTTCCGATTTCTGTGTGTGTGTGTGTTTTGTTTTTGTTTTAAGGTTCACTTTGGTTCAGAAGCATACTGTTGAATTCAACCAACTGGCTATGGCAAACTCAGAAGGATCTGAAGCAATGCTGAACAGAGTAATGACAAAAGATAACATTGGAGTTGCTGTGTTGTTAGAGTTACGAAAGGAATTAATAGAAATGTCATGTAAGTAAAAAGTAATCTGGTGTTTAGATTGAATCCCACTCTGTGTGCAACCCTAACCCTTTCCAGACTTGAATAGACATATCACATGGAACAAAATTAGTAACTATAGGCTAATAGTGATCTATAGGCTAATAGTAATAGAAATAGTGATATTTTAAAGCTTTCTGTGTTTTATGCTGAAATGAATTTATGATTGAAAATTTATCTAAAATTCCAGAGGCTATATGGCAAGCTTAGAGGTGATAAAAAAGCCATTTCTCACATTTCAAAACTGTCTAGACCTCTACACCAGTGGAGAAATGAACATCCCCAGGATTTCCAAGCAGTGCTGAAACACAAATGTCTTTCTCTCCATCATCATTACCTACTCAGAGTTTTGCATAACTTCTGTGACAGTGGATGTAGGGTGACATTCTGCTTCAATGTACTCATACTTTCCCTGATAATACCATTTTTAATTTATTTAAAATCTAAGCTCTTGTAGTTTTAAAGGCAGGGTTAAAGGCTAAAGCAAGATTAGGGGAAACAGTGAAGATTCTTGGGGAGAGAAAAGGATTTGTTTAAAATTAATTGTTCACTCCTTCCTTAGTCATGCCTGTAGCTTACACCCATGATTCTCATGCTTCTTTTCCTTTGACTGCTGTATTGTGTTTGTTTATTTCATTTCTATACTGCTCAATAGCCAGAAGGCTCTCTGTGCTTGCCCAGTTTTGCAAATTAAAACACTGCTTATCATCATATGGATGACTGTCTCGGGTGCTGAATGAAGCTGTATCTTGTGAGTTAAGTAAACATGTCTGCAGCTTGTCACTGCAGACAATAGCCCTATTCAGAGATTACTGGCATGAAGGGGCAATGCAGAAACAAACAGCATATGTTTAACCCTACCTTGAAATCACCCAGCTTCTAATGTGTTGAGGAATACATTCTGCGGCACAGTGCCTCTTCACCTGCGGAGGGTTCCCAGATTGCAAATCACACAGGGAGTCTCCATAGTAGAACAGCCACCATACTGCAGATACTGCACTGAAATTGGGGGATCTGGCCTGAGTTACATGACAATGGGTCCAGGGCTGATGGTGCATCCATTTCTGCCTTCATCACCGCTTTCATGGCTGTAACACCTTCACAAGGCCACTGTCTTTCCAAATTGCAGAATTTCAATCTGGATATCCTTTTCTTTAATGGAGAAAGCACAGTGACTGAAGGATGTTGCAGTTAAAGTACAATTCTCTCTGTGTGTAATCATGTTTGCTACAAAACTCTATGTGCTACCAGTGGTTTTAAAGATACTGTTCATTTGCTGCGGCTATTTGTTATCATACCAATAATGTAATGAAGCCAGCAGAGGGAGCAGAGAACTCCTTGTTTTTTGACTCATAAAATGGCTGGCTGAGTTTAAAAAAAAACCTGGTTATGTGAGGTTCATGTTAATTATCACTAGCTGACTTGATTTATCTGTCGACAAATTTTTTAAAGTGTTTTTACTCATGGAAGCCATGCATTTATCCCGCTTGACGTTTCTTTTACTTCCCATTTCAGCTGGCAAGCCACACCCTGGAACAGACAAACAGCTTGTCCTTGTAGCAAATGCACACATGCACTGGGACCCAGAGTATTCTGATGTGAAGCTGGTGCAAACCATGATGTTTCTTTCTGAAGTGAAGAACATAATTGACAAAGCCTCTCGGAGTCTCAAGCCTGGAATTTCAGGAGACCATGCTACAATTCCACTTGTACTGTGTGCAGATCTAAATTCTCTGCCAGATTCTGGTAAACACAACCATATTCAATTTAATTCTTAAAACTGCAGTCAAGACTTTTAGGGATTTTCTTCTGTACTGAATTTGGAGATATATGCTTCAAGCCCTATGGTAGGAAAGCATCAGCTATAAAGGTGGCAGTTAAGAAAATCATAGGAGAGTTCACCTGAGTGGTGATAAACTTCTTTTTGATAAGAAAGAAAACTTCTTTCTTTGTGGTAATACTTTCTGATTGTGGAACTAATTAAAGGTGTTAACCCTGTGTTGACTAAGAGGCAGCGTGAACCAGGAAGTTCCTATTAAGCATCTCATGAACCATTATTTTTTTCAGCCTCAGCATTTCATTTGCAACATGGGGATAATAATACTGAGCTACCTTAAAGGTTTGCTGTAAGGATTACTGATGCGTGTGAATTGTTTTGATCACTGCATAAATACATGAATGTTCAGTGGTGGCGTACATCTTGCTTTGCTTGCAGATGGAAGGCCCCTGGCACTAAGAGGTGGAAGGCGCTGTGCAGCTGTTTTGTTTTTTCTTAATAACATTTCTGCAGGAAGGGAAAGATGGTACAAGCAGTTGGAATGCTCAGGAAGGTCACAAAGCAGAGTATCCCTTTTGCATCCCTTGTAAAATTTTCCGAATAAGGCAGGGCAGTGATATGATAAAGGTCTTATTTGGAAGTATTCATAGTCTGTTTTTCTATTCTTAGTATGTTTGTCTTAGCCCTAAATAATCCCTTGTGGGCCCATGTGGTAGTTAAAAACAGATTGTGGCAGCATCTTTGGAATAGCACACTAGCTTTGGTTGCAGTACTACTATGAGCAACAGCATGCTTAGTATGGTGCTGTCTTATTTTCTCTCTCAGGTGTGGTTGAATATTTGAGCACTGGTGGCGTGGAAACAAACCACAAAGATTTTAAGGAACTGAGATATAATGAAAGTCTCACTAACTTCAGTTGTAATGGGAAAAATGGGACAACCAATGGAAGGATCACTCATGGTTTCAAGTTGAAGAGTGCCTATGAGAATGGCCTAATGCCTTATACAAATTACACATTTGATTTCAAGGTAAGATGTCAGTTGAAACATTCTTCTAGTATTGTTCCTGCTCTGGGGTCTATTTAGAATAGTATGCATGGGGCTATATGAGGAATCTGTTTTCGGGCTGCTAAGCCATCAGATTCCTTCAACTCGACTGCCTGGATTCTGGTCCACTTTCCATATTTGACGCTGAGCGCATCAAACATTTGTTCACATGGGCACCCATCTGGAATTGAGTGCATATGAATGCCACATAAGCCATATCCCTCTTCCGTGCATGTGACTTGTAGGCTTGGTCTGTGCCTCACGTGCTACAGAGGAAGGTTGCTGGGTTGTGCAAGAGGAGTTCTGTGAGTGTTGACGAACATCCTCCTAGCTCAGTTTGTTTCCTAAGCAAGGTCTGAGCATGAGAAAGAAGTCCGATGAACAGAAGCAGGTGGTTTTCCGAGGGATTGTCACAACCCTAAGCATGCAAACCCTGCATAAAGAAACTTTATGAAGGAGCTTGGACAGAGATAGAAGGAACGATTGTTGGCATATGCATGTGAAGAGAGGGTGGGGGAATAAGTTTTCCAAAGAAGTTGATTGTGGAAGCTCTTTGACAGGTTTACAGTTAGAGAAGAAAGTTCTCCCAGGCATGAGATCCACGCTTCTTAAAAACCTCAAAGCAATGGCTACTGCTTGTGCTTAAAAATGTGGTTGCTATGGAAGAGAAATCCCTGGAAAGTGGAGTTATGCAAAGCGCTTGAACGCTACACAGGAACAATACTTAATGTATTTTAAAACATTCTTAAAAGTGTTTTAAGAATATTTTAATTTACCCAAGATAGCAGAAAGGGTGTACAAAAGAAATACAGACCAAAATTAGCTACAAGACTATAAAAGATTCCAATATAAAAACAGTACATAAACTAAACACAAATCAGCATGAAACTTTAAAATGCCTGGAAAATAATTCTGTTTAAACTGATAATAGCTTTGATGCTAGACAAGCCTTGATGGGGAGGCTATTCCAGAGAGTGTGCCCCCACAGAGAAGGCTCTCCGCTTACTGTTTATGCAATGAGTTTTACCTGTAAAAGGAACCCAGAAAAGTGCTGCCTTTGAAGATCTTCAGATATGGGTGGGCTGATATGTAGAGAGGTGCTTCTTCAGGTGTTTGGGTCCCAGACCATTTAGAGGTATTCAAGGTATTGAATTAAATTCAGAAGCAAATAGGGAATCAATATACCTCTAAGGATGGGTTTAATATGAACCAACTAATATTTTAAGCTATTTGGGGCAATCTGTTACTGATAACCAATTCGAAGGCTACCATAGCTTAGACCACTGTACAGGTCCTACCTACCTGTAAATTAGGTAGGTATATAGCTGATGAACCAGTCAAAGCAGGGTAAAGGTACTCCATGCCTCCTGACCTTCAAGTGTTAGTGCTGGATCCAGGAGTATTTCCAAGCTACACATCCAAGGGAGAAACACAACCCCCTCTAGAACAGGATATACACCGATACCTCAGTCTTGTCAGGATTCAGCTAAAGCTCAGCTTTCATCTAGGCTGTTACTTACTGCAGGCACCAGTGCGGCACCTGCGCATCCCCATCTCAGGCAGGTGAATTAAAGAGCTGCATGTCATCAGCATACTGATGAGACTTGAGTTTTAACTTCCCTCTAACCTCCCATAGATGCACGGTGGGTGGGGAGAGACTTGAGGCCTGTGGAACCTCATAATACATTTGGCACAAGACAGAGCAATAATTGTCCAGCACCAAATTCTGGAAACAAACATCCAAGTAGGACTGGAACTAGTGTAAACAGTGATGCCAGATCCCAACCAAATCAGCAACTCCAGAAGAATGCCAGTAGTATCAAAAGCTCCTGGGAAGGCCAGAAAAATCAAAAGTTCTTTCTTCTACACCTCTCCCTTGCCAAAGGGTATCCAGCAAGGTCACCTGAGGCAATTCCTGTCTCAAAACCAGGCCCAGCACCAGGTTAAAATGTATCTAGAAAATCAGCTTTATCCAGTATTGCCTGGAATTGATCAGTGATCACATGTTCAAACTCCTTGCTCAAAAGGAAATATTACTATATCCCCATAGTTGGTTACTCTTTTTGGGTCTAGGTTAGATTTCTTCAGAAACAGCTGAGTTACTCCCATTTGTAAGGGGACTGGCACCATCTTCTCTCTCAGGGAGGAATTTATAACATCCAGGACCAACCAGTTATCCCCTCCTTGTTAGATGAAACAAGCCAAGATGGGCAAAGGCCAAGTATACAAATGGTCAGTTCAAACACAAAGTCCAAAGTGTGCCCTGCAGAACGTGTTGGGACAATCTATTTTGAAACAGTCTCATTATAGTCATAGTTATGAAGACCTGAGCTGTCCCAGCATGAATACTGATATCCTGCAACACCACACCTGAGATGACTTCAGCCACTCAGGGAGACTAGGCAGCAAGGTGAATAGGAATTAAAGGGATTGTATGAATGTGGGTCCAAGATAGATGTTTGTAGTATAGCCTTTGATTTGTTTTAAAAAAGGTTCGCAAAAGGATTGAGGCCTTTGAATTGTGGTGCTGGTGGAGACTCCTGCGAGTCCCTTGGACCGCAAGGCGATCAAACCGGTCAGTCCTAGAGGAGATCAACCCTGACTGCTCTTTAGAAGGCCAGATACTGAAGATGAAACTCAAATACTTTGGCCACCTAATGAGGAGGAAGGACTCGCTGGAGAAGAGTCTAATGCTGGGAACAATAGATGGCAAAAGAAGAAGGGGATGGCAGAGGATGAGGTGGCTAGACGGAGTCACTGAAGCAGTTGGTGTGAGCTTAAGTGGACTCCGGGAGACGGTGGAGGACAGGAGGGCCTGGAGGAATTTTGTCCATGGGGTCGCGATGGGTCGAACACGACTTCGCGATTAACAACAAATTTTCTATATTGCCTCTCATACAATCAATCAGTTTTAAAAACTTAAACCAACTAAGTAAAACTAAGAAACAACAAAAATCCACAGTGAAATAAACCGTAAACCAGCAGTAGGAACATGACATAGTCCTGTTCAAACAGAGGTGTTTTGTATTTACTGTTTTAGTCTCTGCAGAATAACAGAAGTGTGCTGAAATATACAACTTTTGAAACCCTAGCCCTCACCCTTTCAGTGGAAACTTGTCACACCTTCACATCTGATGCTAAACTATGGGGAGAGTCACATTTCTTAGTGTATGTGAGATTTGTACTGTTTACAGCTTGAACTGGTTCTGGAACCTCATTGGTAACTAGCATATTTCAATATTGGAGAAATGAGATGCTGGCTTGGCACCCACTGGCCTGGCATACTTCTGAAAATATGGTTTGCCCAATTCTCTCTCCTCCTTTTTAGGGTATTATTGACTACATCTTCTACTCTAAACCTCAGCTGAATATTCTTGGCATCCTGGGACCTTTGGATCATCATTGGCTAATAGAGAACAATATAAGTGGCTGTCCACACCCACTCATTCCTTCTGACCACTTCTCTCTTTTTGCACAACTGGAGCTGGTGCTGCCTTTCCTGCCCCCGGTAAATGGAATCCATCTGCCTGGCAGGAGGTAGTCAAGTACATTTTAGAGGGCAACCTCAATCTCATTTGTAAAATTGTAAAATCTGAACATAGAGGAGTGAGGTATGGCCAACAGGGATCTTTCTTAATGATCTTAATTTTAAATCTAATTATTTGATAAAGAAATAGTAAAAGCCAGGTGCTATCAGACACACAATTCTGAGCCCAACATGCTTTATATACTGTTAGACAGGGATTGGTGCATTGGCACCTTTCTTAGGTTTGTTACAAGTAATCTGTTTGTTCTATCCAATGTAATATTTCATGCCTTGAAAATAGGGAATTACTATAATAAATTCTCTTTTGCACAGATACCTGTAGCACTACTTTTTTGAGGCCAGTAGTAAAACATCAAAAGACCATTCTTCCATACTTCACTCCCTTCTTTTTCAGACTTGTTTGTTTGTATAATATAGAATTTGAATTTAGCCTTTATTGATTGTATATGAACAACAGAAAACCTGATTTATGAGATTTTGTACTTTAAAAAAATCAGATTTGGAAAATGATTGTATTGTAAACTAAGGCTAAATTTTTATCTGTTTCATGTGTTATAAAGGCCAGCTTGTAAAAGAAGCTGCATCAGGCTTTCTCTGCTAATGATTTGCACTGTTAGGGTTTTAAGCCCTTATGTACTACTTCATTTTTTAAATTGAGAACACAGCTTTTAAATTTAAATTTGATGAAATCATTGCAAATTTCTTCCAGCTAGCTAACCTACATGCATTTCTTTTTTTCTTTTTTGTTTAACTTAAACAACAGATAAGTGGTTGCAGATTAGGCTTTTGTGTTGATAGCTTTTATTAAAATATATGTTCTAACATTTTTCTGTCTGAAGTGGAACTGCAGAACATTATATACAGCTTTCTGGTATCTGTGTTAAGTCATCCATTTCCTAGCTCCACTGTGCCTGCTTGATTTTGTTCTCAATTAGCACTGCCTGTGCACGCAGAGAGAACCTGTGCATCCTCTTTTATTTTTTTAAATAATGTTAACATTTTGTGAAAATTTTATGAAGATACTTTTGTATAAGCTGTGGCATCTATTTTTTTCCTTTGTGAAGTGTTGAATATCACTTTTTGAACATGTTCAGATGGTGGGTACACAAATGCTAAGCTTCTGATACCCATGCACTGCTTCTTTCAGTGTCATTGCACAAAGCTGTGTTTGTTTCTCTCCACCCCACCACCAGTGCTATCATGTGAATTCCTTTTCAATTTAACCATATTCCTCAGTCATTCCTCAGTCATCATTCCTTAAAGGTAAAATGTACCATTTTCTACTTTATGAAGCAGTGTAACTAGACATGTGTTTTCAGTACAGGTTCCCTAGACAACACTTCAGATCAGTCATTAAAGTGACCAAGTCCTATTCTATAAAGTGTCAACAAAACTAAGGATATAGTGTACCCTCCTAGTGCCATTTGTATTTGAAAGCCAAGTCTGTGTGTGTCTGTGTGTGTGTGTGTATACGCACACCCACACACTGTCCTAAAAGGGAAATTCTTTCTAATCCTCAGCAAATATACCACCAGTAATAAATCCATTTCATAATTAGAGAGAGAACTCGGTCAGACTGCTTTTGTTTCAACTGCAGGCAGAGAAACAAAAGCTCACTCTCGAATTGAGCTGTTCTGAAAATAATAAACGTTTTAGAAACTAAAATGCATCTTTGTAATAATGATTGAAAATTTTATAAAGAGGAAATTATCAGCACTTAGAAGTGCTTAAGCATTTTGTTTTAAAGAGAACAATAAATTTGCAAGGAGCTCATGTTTGAAAAACATTTTTAAATTTCAGTAGGAAAAGTCTAGATCTTGAATCCTTGTCTAGGACCTGTTTTTTTTTTTCTTTTGTTACTTGTTTTTTAGTTCAAACACCAAACATGTCCAGTTTATAATCAATACATCGGAATGCTGGTAATAATTGATGTAGTAGATTCAATGAGTAGTGTTGCTTTTTCTGTTCTTGTTTTTTGGGTTTGGGGTTTATTTTGTAAAAGTGTGAATAAAAGGTGTTTTACTCATGTTTCCTTAACAATGTGTTGGTAATGTGCATCATGACAATTTTCAGTGGCAGTGGAGCCAATTTAGCTTGTCATATTCAGCAACCTGTTTTGTTTCCTGATTACCTTAGTTATTTAATAGTATGTCCAGAAAGCTTTATGGAAGGGAAGCACTTATTCATTTTATATTTCTAGGAGGAATTAATTCTTCCTTTTTAGCTGGAGCTTGAGTGCACTTGGTAAATCCTAAAGGTTTAAGCTTTACACATGCATTTTCACCTTTCTTTGTTCAGTCTTAAAATATCTTTATATGAATTTATGGCAGCACATTAAAAGGTTACGAGCCCATTTATGTGCTCAAGGACTCTCTTCTTGCCTGAACATGTTACAATCTATGGGCAGCTCAAATTACTTTTCCATGTTTGGGATAATAAGATTCTTGAAGAATGAGAGCTCGGAAAATAGCAGACTACTTTTGACATGAATAGACTTGGTCAGATACTACAATAATGAACTGAATCTCAATCTGAGGAAATAGTCTGCATCTTTGCAGAATGATATAAGCTGCACCAAATGTGTCTGGCAGTAGATTTCACTAAAGTAATACTTTTAAAATTCCTGCATCACACAAATTCAGACATTTCATAAATGAATGCAATAAACTCTCTGTCTTCACAAAATGATAATTTTCAATAACCTTAACACTTTATTTACTTAAGGTGGCTTTGGATGTTGCCATAATATATGTTCCTTGTTTCTTATTTAACATACTTGCATCTTTTCAAGAGAGCATAAAGCATTGCTGAGCAGTATGAGGCTCCTTCACCCCATCTCCAGTTGAAACCAACTAGGTATTTCTCTAGCAACAATCAGATATGGAAAACATCTCCTGATCACCTGTGTATTTTTAATAATGTGCATTAATTCAATTAAGGTGGCATTTAATAGGGAAATATAAAATATTATAGATTATGGGGTTTTAAGATCGAAGAGAAACGTCTCTAGGAAATGTGTGTAATTATTTTGTCCCTCTTTATGGGTTTAAAACATTCAAGTCTCAGCTGTGAAGCTAACCCATTCAGGATGCAGACGTGACACCCAGTGATAATAAAACTCTTTTAAAACTATATAAATTCTGCTATGGCTAACATGTATAATAGTAGGTTCAAATGTCAAGTCCTCACTTCATCCAAGGGGCGAAGAATTCAAAGACAAAATAATTGCACTACAATTTTCAACAAAAATAATCACTCTGCACATTTTACAAGTCAAATTGACAGCTTACATAGTGAGTCTGTTTTTCCCATCCAGCCTGACACAGTATTTTAGTATATGTTAACTCCTGCTATACTTTTTGGTTGTGTATGCTTTTTTAAAATGTAGGTATCTTGGTATGTTTAAGTAGTGTCTAAAACTTAGATTACCTAGTCTCTCTTCACAGTACTTCTGTATAACGTGTAATGCACTGGACTAACTCTTGTTTACCATATGTGTAACAAAAAAAACAAAAAAAAAAACCAGCACATCATCTGCACTAAGCTCAAAGAATGTTGCATTTGTCTATAGGCAGCTCTTCAATATGATAAATGGGAAATTGAATATGGTCTGATGGTAAACAAGGGCTTTTACTGTTCTCTTCAGTGGAACTTTCTTCTTGGTCAAATTTTAACTAGCTAGTATTATATTTATATACAGGGTTGTCTTTTTTTTCTTTACCAATGTATTTTCCTACTCATAGCTGACCAATAAATTCAATATCTGTTTCAAATCTCTTTGAAGTCTAATTTTCATATTTCACCTCTGCCTGTAAACACATCCAAACAGGCAATGAATTGTTCTAACATTTCAGTGTTAATTCACTCTCCTAAAAGAGATCTCCCACAGTTGCATTACTTAAAACAGTTACAAGGCTGCAATTGCAAAGATGGACAGGTCCATTCATTTAAATATATATATATTTGTGGAGTGCATATCCTAGCTTCTACACCTTTCTTTTTCTCATCGAGAATTAAATACCTCCACACAATGTACACACTGTATTTAAATGGCAGTATGTCACTGATAAAACCGGTAAGAGCTGCCCTAATTAAAGTGTTATAATAGGGGAAGACAGCTACTAGGAAAGTGTCTAGTATTTTGAAGGCTTCAGGAATTTGTTGAGGTAAAACCTATTCCAGCAGTCCTAGGAGCTGTCACAATTCATGTTGGCCCACATACATTTTTACAAAGCGGGGCATGGACAGTCTGGTAGTGTTGCCCAAATGAGCTGCATGCACTTTTATTTTCAAAATACTTTTAAACAGCTTTTCCATTTGCTACAGCCATTATCAGATCAACAACAATAAGGAAACTCCTTCCCATGGATGCTTAGGGCCACATTTTTGAAAGCTCAGTTAAGTCTGTTACTGATAGAACTATTCCAGTTTGGTAGAATTTGTAGGCAGTATTTGCATAATAAATTACAGCCTCAGTGTACAAACAGTGCTGGTCTGTTAGTTTACAATTTATAGTTTGTTTTTCAATAATTGTTCTTTGTTAAATGTGGCTATATAAAATTAAAGACTTTAGAGAATAGAGGAAGAACAAAAAACAAACCTACCCCAACCTTTTCGAAAACTGGCAAGGAGGGAAGAATCCAAGTTTCCAAAAATAACTCATTCAGTTATGGTTCATGTGGCTTCTACATTTTTGTTAATGCAAAAATTTTAATGTAATTTTTAATGCAAATATGCATTTAATTTCTGCTAAAAATAAATTGCTAGTTGACAACATTTGGCAAACTGTTTAGGTAAACTTGTGAAAAGTATTTGTAAGTGATTTATTACAATAGAAAAGCATTTCTGGCACAATCCAGCCAGATTTTTTTTTCGCCAATTGACATTAGTGAGCTGTAAAAGTTTCAATTTTGACTGGGTGCTGCCCTTAGAATGTTTATTTTGTTACATTTGATTAGGCCTGAATTTCATGTTTCTCTAGGACACCTTCTGAATGTTAAAGGAGTTTACATGTCTTCAGTCATCGGGAATGCAGCATTGCAAAGTCTGGCATATCAAGTCCATGAAAAGAAGGTTAGGCATGAGACCAAGTTCAGTGACACACCACAGATTGCCAAAAAAGCTACAGAATCCAATTTTAAATTCTGTTAAATAGAGTTACCACTAACTGCTCATCAGCTGGTGTGGACAGTCTTGAGCTAGGAAGCCCAGTGGGGGGTGGCTTTCTGTGTATAGCAGCTTGAGACATACACAACAATTTCTAATGAATTCGAAGTGCTTTAAACAGTAGCATTAAGAGGATAATCTGTAGGACTCCTATCTGTAGGAGGATAATCTGTAGGACTTTCTTCCTATCACACTTACTTACTAGAGCATTTAGTGGACCCCAGTTTGTGTAGAACCCCCTGCTGTGCAAAACTAGTGACCAGGATTGGTGACCAGCTCCTTGTTTTAGGAGGAGCTTCACGGGCTGGTGATGGTGCAGCCTTTTCACAGCACCGATGCCTTTACAACAAAGAGGGCAGATTCTGTGAAAGGTGTAGTGACCCAGGTTCTCATGTTTATTGCGAATTTGATTTTAATAGGAATCATCTCACCCTCCATTTCAAACAAAATTAATACAAAACTCATTCTCTATTATGATTATAATCACTTGTTTTCTAAATCAATCTCACTGTGCATTTGTCTGGATTTTATAATTTGGAAAGAAGGTTCAGAGAATCATACTTTGTTGCTTTGAAGGCCATTTTAATTAAACCAAGAAGCTCACATGTCTATATTAAATAACAAAATGGTAAAAAGTCTCCTTTTTATAATTATGGCATGGACTATTTTGAACTTGTCTTTCAACCCTCTTTTTCACCTCTTGCAATGCCATAGGCATGCTGCCTTTTCTGCACCTCCATCCATTTCTCTTCCATCCCTCCCTTTCCAGTACCACTTTCCTGTTTCTCTACCCTGAAGAATAACTCACATGGGACTGGGTCTAGACTGTATTGGCTTTTACATAAATCTTGCTGAAATCAATGGGAAAACTGCCAGTGTGGACTAAGTACATGTTAAGTCTGGATCCTACAACCTGTGTTCCGTTTCTCAGCAATTCACACACTGAGGCTCAGACCTTAAATTAATCTAGTTTGCCTGTGGACGTGGTTTTTAACTTGAAGCAGCCTTGCAGGGTGCAGCTGCTCTTTGAAATCCAGTAACCTTCTATGCCTCTGTCTCTACTACAAAACTGGGCCCCTGAGCACAGTCCTAGCATAGATGCCCACAGCAGGATGCACAAAACCAGGCTCAGAGCAGGCACACCACAGATGCCGTTCCCATTGCTCTGGAGCTGCTAACTCTACCATGCGCCTGAACCACTCCAGACTGTAGAGGGTGGCTCCAAGCAGCCTTGGAAAAGTATGTTTGACACACCAGCTGCAACTCCCAGGTAGGGACCCATTTCCTCTAGCAAGTTATAGAGGGCACTGTTACAAAAGGATGACCATTCATATAATAACCTCCCCCCAAAAGCAAACAAAAACACAGTCTGAATTGGTGCCACACAGAATTTTGTATTGCAGTGGCCATTGTCAGGCATCCAATGGACAAATGCAATAGTTTCATGCAAAAATTCAAATCTTTCTTTGGAAAATTATCCTCATTGGAAGAGACTTCCTGAAAAGTTCCCATGATGCATGGAAGTTGCGGAAATGTGTATAGAAGAACAAGTCAAGTTCTTGTTATTTTGCTAGCTGTGTGTTTTACTGAAGCATTTATAATTAAATATTGTCATCCTATATGAGAACTTCCTTAGGAGGGATCAGTCCTAAAAAGCAGCCTAAAATACTTGAAAGTCTCATAGTTTTTGAGATCACTGAAATCCATGGACTTCTTTTTTATGTAATCAGCATAGAGAAGTGGTTTGCAATGTAATTCTGTTTTTCATACACAACTACTGGATGCAGATCTAAGCACATAAAAAGATCAACGTTTGTAAAAACGCATCATTAAGACTCATCTATAGAAATACATTCATGAATTTTGTGCTTTGACATGACCATTGCATTTGTGTTTTATGCTCTCACTTGTGGAGGCATCTGTGCTTGTGAGCATCTAGAGAAATTTTTTCATTTGCCATCGGACTCCGTTTCACAGACGCAATGGAGGCAGTGTTAGTCACCCACCCAAAATAGTAACTGGTGGGAAGCGCTGGTGACTTTATGCTTGTCTCCATAGAAGTGCTTAGTAAGAAGCTCTTGGTATACAGGGAAGGACAACACTGGCTGTAGAGCTAAAGCAGGGTGGTGTCCAGGGTACGCATGCCTGGACACCTGCCAGGGTCCCTCGCCTTCATAGAGCCACTGCCAAGAGCCTCCTGGAGTGGCTCCCCTTTTCACTTGCCTCTTGTTCTTCCAGAGCTTGTGTAGGTTTTCTGATGTGCAGCCTCTCTTCTGTGTGAGTGTGCATGCGTGCGCACACACACGTTTGCATGCGTGCGCGTCATGCACATTTCTGACATGCAAAATGCTAAACTGCCACTAGGTGGTACAATTGACAAGTATATACATGAGAAATTTAAGATATCATATATCTAGGTAGGCTAAAAGCTACTTATGGTTAAGAAATGTTCTATCAGTGTTGGAATATCCAAAGTGAAGCCATTGTCAGTTGGGGAAAGGGCAAAGACAGCCTTTATTTGGGCAGCCCAGATAGGTGCTTGGGTTTCTAGCATACAGCTTATTCTGCGGCGAATGCAGCAGTGCTTATTTTGTGGGGGGTTTCCTATATCTATTAAGGTTTGTTCCTCAGCTTCTGATGACACCCAAATCCAGAACGGAAGAGGGCTGCTTCAGGGTGATTGGGCTTTGTCTAACATAAGGCAAGGTTTTTCTGAAGCAAAGCAAGCCGCATCTGAACCTTTGGTGTTGCCCTGAGGGATTAGGGTGCAGAGAGCATCGGACAGCCTTGACCCAGGGCTGGCGTTGAGGACAGGAGTGATTGGGCCCTGGCTGAGGGCCCACAGCCCAGCCCAGCCCAGTCCATGCCCGTGGCCACGAGCCCCTGGGCTTGCCCCACTTCCTCACGCTGCAACTTGCTTGTGCACCTGCCCCTTGCTCTAGCCCGGACAACAGTGGTGGAAAGCAGGAGGTGCCACTGGCACGCTGCCTGTCCAGCAATGGCAGAAGCAGGAGGAGGCGGAGGAGCAAGAGCAGCAGCTCACAACATTGGCGAGAAGGTTGACTCACTGAGGAAGGGGGTAACTGAGCCCATGGGGTCCCCAAATCCCAGGACCCGTATAGTTAAAATAGCTTTCCATAAAAGCAAAAGGACACGGGGAAAGGCAGAAGAGGAAGTTGTGGCCCTTTCTTTCTTGAAAGCTTTAGCTTCTTACCAGGAAATAATACCAAGGCCATGCTTTTCTACTTGAAATCACAATGGCTTTGGGACAGATGCAGAAGGAGCTTCTGATTTGGTGTCCACTGAATAGAAAATAAAACAGCCTCAAACTATCATCATCATCTCTGTTCTTTGCACCTATCCTGAGATGTTCAGGTAATGTACTTAAAGGTAACTTCTAGAATATTTTCATACAAATTGTCCCAAAAAAACACATAGAGGAAAGCTAACCTCTTCTCCTTACTCATCTGCACCAACCTGAATCGCTAAAATCTGGCAGGCTTCACTCATTCAGAAAGTGTTACTATGTCAGAAAAATTCATCCAGCTACAAGAAAAAAGTAAAAATATTGGGCAGTATCCACTGTTGCTTGTATGCCAGTGGGACCTATCACATCCAGCGTCTGGTGTTTCCTAATACAGCCAGAAACAAACTGAAACACTTGTTTCTGGAACTGAACAGGTCAGCAGAAGGAAGCTTCACTGATCTGTACCATTCTGGAAATGAATATTTCAATTTGTTTCTACAGCTGTTTAGGAAGTGCTAGCTGCTACCTATTGCACTAACTGTTGGTCCTACTGGAGCTGCAACAGCAACACTGGATATTGCCCATGACAGGCATTAGCTCCTTTACTCATGTCCTTGAATAAGCAGACACACATAAATTAAGATTTTCTGAAGAGCATCTGTGTTGGACCCAAGCCAAAGTGAGTCATGGTCTGAGGCAAATCAACTTGCTCTCCAAAATGAGATATAAATCATTTGTCCTTGGTGCGCACTTCTAATTTTGTTATTTTTAAGTACACCCAGCTCTTGGAGCAAGGGTTGCACTGTTTACCCAGGGTTGATCTCCTCTGTAATGAAGTCAATAGGGACAAAAGCAATATTTGCTTTTATTTACAGAAATACAGCCTAGGTATAAATGGGCATTCACAGCTTCAGGGCTCCAAAGGATGGCCTAACATGCACAGTCCCACACCAGATCTGATGGTGGCAGGGGCCTAGCACTTCAAAGCTCCCCAAAATCTGCAGTTTCAATCATTTCTAGATGAATCTGTCTCATTGCTGCCACATAAATGCCCATACAGAGGCGGGAGAAAGAGGGTGCAAAGGTTGTTTGGGGTTGTTGGTGCCAATCTTAACAATCTGTGCAACCATTTTTTTCCTATTTCAGAAGTTCTCCATGTTGGTTTCCATGCTTACATGGTTTCCATGCTTCTCCATCTTCCCTCCAAATGGCAGCAGTGATCCCATCAGCCCCTGCAGCTCAGAATCAATCCCACTGTGCACTGCTCCTGCCTGCCTTGCCTTCTCTCCCTCATTGGCCTGCTCCCCACTTTTTGCTTGCTTTTCTGCTGCTCAGTGAAGCAACTGCTTATGCGCTAGAATAAAAAAGACATGCATTTTTAATTTTTCTTATGAGTTGAGCAACATTGCCCCAAAACTCATATGCCAATTCTAATGAAGAATGGGGAATATTTTACATTTCTTTTGCACTTGTGTGGCTGGCTTTCTTCAGACAAGGTCCATAAGGCTAGTAGCTACCACTGACACACATTGGATCTTGATCACTATAACCCCAGAAGGCTGATTTGCATTTGGAGAAAGTCTTGGGGGCAGCAATCCAGTGGTGGGCAAGGTTGAAGACAAAAGGCATGGAGCCAAAACACCAGCATATTTTAGTTCTTGCTGCCAGCAGCTAAACCTTAAGAGAAACATTTAGCTTGGGGGCAGGAGGGCGGGACTGCCCAACCCCAGGAATTCCCCCTAAAGAGTGGTGTTTGGGGAAATGGAGCTCGAGCTGGGAAAAGTACCTCCTTGGGGAATTCCCAAAGGTGAGATTGCTTTAATCCCGTAAAGTACAACTGTATGTGTGTTTAGAACAAAGGCCTATAGCTCCCAGGATGGCTTCCTGGGGCATGCTGGGAGTTGTAAGCCTTCCTCTGTCTAAATATGCAGAGTGTTTCCCATACTGTTTTGAAGGGAAACTGTTCTCCTTTCTCGATAGTTTCATTTTCATCTATTCTCACAATTCCTCTTGCTGGACAGAAAAGTTTTCTAAATACATGATTAAATTTGGATTTAATAATGGATTTGCCTCCCCTGCTCTCCACTCCCCAAATCCCCACTTATATCATGGGCCCACACTGTATTGCTGCCACTGGGCTCTGCTTCTGCATGGAGAGGAAGATAGAGGTGTTGATGGCTGCACCGTGCTGGACAGGAGCATGTTCTAGGGCTCTCTGGTGCTGTTTTGGACTCAGCAGCCCCAGCAAGTCTGGCTAATAGTCAGGAATGTTGGGGCTTGTCATGCAAACCATCTGCAAGTCAGTGGCTTTAGAAGGCTTCTCTAGGGAAGCAATCGCCACCATCCAGTGTGTTAGGTGTCTGCAAACGTGTCTGTCACAGTCCAGCCGCGAGTCAGGAGGCAGGATTTGTCATTTGCAGTAAAGAGGAGCATTACTTTGTTGCTGGCTTCCCTGTGCCCATTCAAGTTGTAAGCATCATCATTGTAAGCATGTCTGTGCACCAAAATGTTATGATCCAAAGCACCGTTTCTCCTTTTCTTCAAAGAGGAAGCTTCTAAGTAGTGGCTCAAGTACATGTCAAGCAGACTTGGATTCATACATCACTGTTTAAAAGTGCTTCTATAGGGCCATCAGGCTAAAAGAAGTGGTAAACCTGGGAAAGACTTTTTGGAAACTCTTTTTCATCCTTAATCCCCTGAAGTGCAATCCTATGCAGGTTTAGACAGAGAAAAGGATTTATTTGAGTGAGTAATTGCATGCTTACATTATTTTTCTCCAAGCTGTCATTCCATGATTACGAATCAAATAAGGGAGAACTTATAAACTCCAGTCTGCTCCCACTTGCCTCAGCTTCACCCCTCTGCATGGCCACCACCACACTGCCGCTTCCTATGACCCGCACTGCCACTGCCCTTGTTTTGTGAAGTGCTCCCAGGTGCCTAGAGCAGTCACACTGCTCTGCAGCAGGCGAGGCCAAACTATGGCTCAGGAGCCCCATGTGGCGGCTTTGCTGGGGCTCCTGGCGTCCTCCCCAGGAAGCCAACTGATCTCCCTGCATTTGCACAGCTGCTTGTGTGCCACATGGGCAGAATGAAGGAGGGAGAAGAGAAGAAGCAGCGAGAGCAGGAGACAGAAGCAGCTGCCTGGCAGGTGAGGACAGCATGATCAGGAGGAGTCAGGCACAGGCCGCTGAACGGGCGGAGCGACAGAGACGAGTGTCTGTGCATTGGCTTAACCGGGGAGGGAGACATGACGGGCAGCAGGAAGAGAGGGGCGGCTTCTAAAGGGTCAGTGTTGCTCCCTGTTTTGGCTGCCAATGGCCACCTTGTTGTGATGTGCGTTTTATGCCAGGGGCAAACTTACCAGCTGGATTAGGATATACTTGTGGCCAGTGCTTTTTTTGTAAAAAAAAAAAAAAAAGTGCCAGAACTCACGCCTTGGGGTCACACTTTTACACTAAAAAAGTTTTTCAATTCACCAACTTTTTTTGAAATAAAGAACTTATTTATCTTTTGCACGTAGCCAGTCACTCTACACACACATAAACATAATGGTCGCCGCCAGCGGTAAGCACTCAGCGCGCGACCAGACGACCGATCCCAAGCCGAGCAGTGTCCCAAGCCGAGCAGACACACAAGCAGCCCGCAGGCACTATGTTAATGATTTTTGCTGCCGACCTGCTACGCCCGACAGGGCGATTCAAAATCACTTGGAAAAATCCTTTGGAAAAATCCGTCAAAAAAAGGTGCCAGAATGCCGTTCCGGCACGTTCTGTGACAAAAACAGCCCTGCTTGTGGCAGCAGCCATTGCAATGCTCTTGGGCAGCCATCCTGCTCTGCCTTTTCCCATTTCCCTTTTGTCTTTCTCTCCTTTGTGATCCAACAGGACAAGTCTAATTTTAATGACCACAGCAGGGCGATATTTTAAATGTTTATTTACATAAATTCTCAAAGCACATACATAGTTATCAAACATATTTCATGGCAGACTTGGCCAGCACTTAATTTTCACAAATGCTTGAATGGTTGCTATAATATAACAGAAGATGGTCTTTCAATACGGAAGTCCTATCAGAAGCCATTAATGGAAGGGTTGCAATCTTCCAAGCAGGACTTTCTGGACTCAGAGGCACACTGCCACAGAAGGACTACCGACGAGGAAAGAACGTTAAAGACTAAAGGCAGGATCCAAAACTTCTTCAACTTTTGTGCAAGGGTACAGTGTGGAAGCATTGTTTCTTTGAAAAGTTGCTCCCAGTGCCGCAAGACAAACCACTGAAACGCCTGCGTGCAAAACCAGGTTAGGATATGGCATGGATCGGTTAGGGCACGTTGCTGTTGGACTTGCCTGAGGTGGCTCTTATGTTCCCATACGCAGCAAGTTAGCAGCCTGCTATTCATTACATACTATTTCATACAAAATCCTTCTGAGAGAACAGGAGCTAGAAGATGAAAGACCCTGATTAGAATCATCAGCTTCTAAGGGCTAGAGGACTTCTTTGCATTCAAATAATTCTAGGGAGTTGTGAAGAAACCCCCCCCCCACACACACACCCTTGCTGTTGTTATGCAATGTTTATTTTGTGTGGCTTATGGGAGGCTAGAGTGGTAGGCATGAGGTCTTGTTGTTTTTCTGTTGCGCGGTGTGTGTGCGGAGGCCAAGAGGAAAAGAGAGAGAATTCTTTGAATAGTATTAGAGGGAGCCTGTATCAGATAAATTGGGCTCTGATTGGCCTGGGATTTGAGCCAGGTGGAAAATCAAGTTAAGTTAGCCTGTAGGTAGTGAGGAAGGAGGTCTGCCAGTTGGTGGGTCAAGTTTCAGAAAGTTGTAATAGTTAAGGACTGGATGTTAAGCTACTCCCTCCTAACCCTTCATGGCTGGTGAAGATCAGAAGTAGGGAAAAGCTGGCTGTGACATGCCAGGATGGTGCCCGGGGATCTTACTAGAAGGAAGTTTAACAAGCAGACAGTAAAAACCCAAACAAGCAGTCCAAGCAGCCAGAAATACAACACATACCGCTTTGGGAGTCAGAGGAAGACCAGTTGTGAATGCATTTGGCTGGGTTAGATGTTTTGGGAGTTTGGCCTGAGATAAAAGAAAGCAACATTAATGCTACAATCTAATCTGGATGCCTATAATCCCCTGGACTTGGAGGATCATAGGCATCTTGTGCAGAAGAACGCAAAGCTGCAAGAAAGCCATTGTCAGCTGTGTAACTGGCATCTCAGAATGGCAGAAAAAGAGGCTGTGGTGCGGCCCGGATACCATATATTGGGTTGGGTGCCAGTTCTCTCCTCACAACTCCTTCTCCAAGCTTGGAGAAGCAGCTGGCATAGTCTTGCTACACCGGATGCGAGACACAGGGGTGGGCACTTAGAGTGCCGCTCTGCCATCACAGCGAGTTTCCAAGGTTGGAGCAGAGAGTCAGAGTATTCCAATGGCTGTCTGGGATTCCATTATAAGGGGTTTGCAACAGCAACAGTCTCTTGAGTCCTAATGAATGTCACGTAGTAATATTTTGAACACTCCAAAGTAAATATTAGGAGTCCCTTAATGCTTTTTATAAAGAGTCAGCTTATGAAACTCTGAGTTATAATGGTGGAGAGGCCCTTAACCCCTGAAACAGACAACGTTCTTAGATATGAGAAACACTACAGATGAAATTCCTCAATGAAGGAGCAATTTTCCTTTAGGTGGTGGCAGGGCTGGGATGGGGAAATCCTCCTCAGGAGTTTAAAGTCCATCTTGCATTATCAGTCACAAATGCATGTACATCTCTGATTTCTGGAAAACGTTCTTCCAAAAACTTTTGCTTAAGAGCACCCCCATAAGGAAAACATGGCAATCCCACAGCTCTTGACACAATGCTAGAGCAGAAAAATATTCAAGGTGTACAGGGAAAATCGATCCGCACCCTAAAAACCACCCGGTTGATAAATGTGGCCAGATGCACTACCCGCATCTTCTTGAGTTTTTTTTTTTTTAACACATTAATCAGATATTTTCAGAGAGTCTGCATCCCAGTCTTAAAAACATGTTTACTTAAAAATCTGATGAAGGGCATTAGAAGTTTTTTCCCCCCTGGTAAGCCTGCATGTGTTTTCTTGGAAGTACATCTTGCCGATTAGCAAGGCACTTACTCCTAATTAGCTTTGTGTAGGTTGAAGCTTTAGAGCATAACATGCATTTTATTTTTACTCTGCCATGACAGAATCGCCAAAGTAGCTCACAAAGACATATATGCCATTACAGATAATGGGCTATACATTTTCCTAGGTACTCTTGTGGCAATTTACATTTATGAACCATGTGAATGTTTTTGTTATCAGTTTTCTATTCCAGAGGTTGCACAATTTTTAAAAGCGATAAACACCATGGGACCATCATTAATTGCTTTTTCTTTTCAATTACTGGTTGAACCAAAGGTATGAATAAACCTGTATTCTAATTAGAACTTTCCGGGTAAGTGCAATTATACAAATTAATATTGTATTGAATAATAGAATGTCCCTTTAAGCTTTTCAAATACACAGTATAGTTAGTTTTCAATGCCCTGTAATCTTAGGGTTTATTAACAAAAATCTTAATAGCTACAGGGCTATTGCAGACAGGAAGAGCATACCTGATCGTTTGGAAAGCAACAAAAATATCCCCTTGTGCAATCCTTCCTTTGTAAATACTGTAAATACATATAATGCTGAAATCACAATAATATTAGCCTTATGAGATACTGGACAGTGGAAGTCATGAGCTTTTTCAAGTAAGTAAAATGGTTGGCAATGGCCAACAAAGAAAGAGAATCAGCCCTAGTATTCTCTCTCCCCATTTTGTTTTTTTACTGAGACTAGGTCTGTGCATGTAGCAACATGGATGACACCACTTCAGTATGCATACTGGAGACTCAATTTTTTTTAATATAAACCCATATTAAGAAAAAAACATCCTTGTAAACAGAAAATAGAGAGAAAAGCTATGTTTCTATAGTTTATTTTATGTTTAAGTTGCTGTGATCCTAGGTTTTCTCTGCTGCGTTTCTATTTGCAGGGGCAGGGCAGTGTCCAAGTTCTTAACATTTTTTTTTTTTTTTTGAAACAAAAAATCTGCCCCCACCTACCCATCTGATGTAGTGTCTGCTCTACTATCTCATACTGCTGCAAATGTACCGCAGGCACCTAAATAGCTGACAGATTTGTATCTGAACTGACACAGCAGAGCTAATGTTCAAAACACCCCTTCAAGTATGAGGACAGGGGTTTTCAAGGGTTTAATTTTCCCCTGATGATTTGTAATTCTTAAAATTAAGCATTATATTTCAGGAATAACACACCAATTAAATGGCTCTACAGGCCACATTAGCAATCATCAACAACACAAAATAGTAACTTCTTGTTGTTCTTAGGTCCATTCCAAATCTAACAGTTAATCAGCTTATACTCTATATCCAAGCAATACCCAGCAACAAATAGGAGTACACAATATTTGACCCTATGTACATGCCACACGCTACTCCTGAATCCAGAATACATGTCCAAACAACAACAAAAGGTGTGCATAGTCACAAGTAAGAATCTACCATGGTGAGCACTAGCTAATTTGATAGCGTGTGAAGTGGCCCTTTGATTTCACATGTATTGCAATAGTTAGATAATGTACATAATGTAAAATTATATACTAATCATGCTGACAAAGTAGCACAATATGCTTTGATGAAAATGGTTCACTGCCAGCTATGTTGCTAAGACTATTGAAGATGCAGAAAAGGGTTAAAAGCACCTGTGTTACAAAAATTATACGGACAAGCAGCAAGAAAACACAGTGCAACATTAGAGAGCTTGATTTTCTTTTTACAAATTATGTCAGAGAAAATTAGCAGTAAGTTCCAGACAAGTCTAGCTTAGTTCTCCCCCAGCTCCAATTTTAAACACAGTACCACGAGCTCTCATGAGCTCTCAGTACATTGAACTGAGAGAGAGAGATCTTCAGCTCAAGAGTCTCTGCATAATGAAAAGACTGAAAGATCTTTGTAAGGAGAGACCTACAACTCATATATCTGTATGGGTCTGTAACAATATGTATATATGAATTAAACACAGCACTCGAAATATCAGGGTCAAAAACTATCCCCTGGGGGGATCACAGTTAGACATAAAAATTGGCAATTCATGACTTGTTTCTATCCATTTGAACGAGCACAGGCTTTCCCTTTCCTGATAGAAAGAGAAACTAGGAAGTACAGTGTTGCTTAACTGCTTATATTAGTAAAAAAGATAAGAAACTGTTTCATTATTGAGCACGTAGAACAAAAACCACTGGTAATACAACTTAGGAGATGTAATAAATCAGTGGAAAAGGGACCTGCAAAGGAATGGTGGGGTGGGGTTGGTTTTGTGTTTTGTTTTATTTTTTCTTCCTTTCTTTTCTTTTTTCTTTTTTGTTGCTTTTCAATAAACAGATGGTGGCTTAGTTGCTCCTAGGAAGTGGCAACTGAGTGGAGTATCCTGAGCCTATTAATAAAACAATACTGTGCCTCACAGCAGCAAAGGAGAAATGACAGATGCTAATAGGAGCTGTCTATGGGCTGAACCCAAAGATCAAGGCAGACAAGGGGAAAACAACTTCTTCATGCAACAGATGAATAGAATTTGCTATGCATTTGTTAAATGGCTTCAAAGGAGGTTTAGAGAAATTCATAGAATTTTCAGCACGGGCTTTTCAGTACTGCACATAATATAATATAAAATGGCAGCCTGGAAGCTTGAGGTTGAATCGTAGCACATGACTGAATGTACCAGTTGCTCCAGGGCAGCTATGTAGGAGTCTGATTTCCTAGCCTTTGGGTTTTCCGGGTGCATCTAGCGTGGACCACTGTGAGAACCAGGATGCGAGCCTAGCTGGCCCTTTAGTCTCATCTAGCAGGGCTTTTCTTGTGTTCTTATTAACTAGACCTGCTCTTCTGGGTGATCCTTTTGATAGCAAAACAGAAGTTTGTCCACTGTGTGGGTGAAGAATATGGATTTCCCCTCCTTTATTCCTAGATGAATTTTAGAAATTCTTGGGCATGTTTTCTGTAGGTGCATGATTGGTCCATGCATAATTTAAACTTCAACTATCAAGATATATTTTCACTTAAATAGATGACTGAGCTTTCACCAACTTCCAGCCCCTTACAGAGCTGGATCTATTTATATAATGCACAGGATGTGTATTTTCATACAGCCAAAAGATCCAGTGGGTGACAACATGTATAATAGTAGTTACAACTTGTTATCCAAACGTCTAAGATAAACTGAGCCTGCAGTGCTCTCTGGGTAGCACTGCTAATTGTTCCCTTTGCTCGATTCTCTGAAGTTTTGCACAGGTCATTTGCACAATGCACTCTACAGTCTATGTTGACTGTAAATTAGCGTCCTGTGCCCTTTTGAAAAAAAATGACACTGCAGAATGTGCTCAAAGTAGGAGGAAGTTACACCACCTACATTTTCTTCAAATAAAATAACAATTCATGATTCTGCAATGGCAGGGAGCAGGCATGCTCTCACCTTTGCTTCTTTCCAAGCACTTTGGTATTCTGAAATCCAGCCGTGGCTTGTGCCTTTTTGATTGATGTGGAAATTTCCTACACTGCCTTCTTTGCTACTTGTCTCTCCCTTCATCTTCTGATTATAAATGGAAGGCTTCAGTTGCTCCCTTTCAAGACAGGCCATGGTCTTCAGAGATTGCTGTCCTCTTTGTGACGATCTCAAAATCGTGGCACTCAGAGGCGTTTCTCTGGGTGGGTGCAGCCAGAGTGATTTACCATTAACGATGAGAGGGCAATTTTCTTCCTGATTTGGACCCCTTTCCAGAGCTGACATCCTGCTTTGTTTTTTCAGGCATTTTAGTTCAGGGCAAGTACTTTCCCTCTGCGGCGGTCTTGGGGAGGGAATCCTGGGGAAGCTGAAAACATCTCGTTTTTCCGTGTTTTTTTCTTGAGGTGAGAGTATCCCAGTGCCATGAAAGTTGTCCCGTGAGCAGTTAACACCACTATGCTCACTGGCGTTTGGACATCTTTTCCACTGAGGAGCATTATGACCTTCTGTACAGAGCTCTTTTAGTGGATCCACCCTAGAGCTGGAATAGGTTTTGATACAATCAAGAATGAAGCTACTTTTTTCTAATGGCATCATATTAGGAAGGGTATATCTAGAGACCATTTTTGGTGCCTCAGACAAGTTTAAGATTCTGTGACTATTGTGGAGCATTCCTGGTTTGCCCATATCTTGACCTTTCTTACTTTCTGGTGGAATTGAAAAGGTAGGTCTTGAAAGCTGGCAGATAGACTCAAGGTAGTCTTCACCAGAATAAGAATCTGGGCCTGAATAGACATTCCCAAAACCTTTTGTGTTGCTTGTTATGTCTTCCAGAATATCCTCAAAGGCTTCACTGATGGTTGGGAGAGGCTTTGCTAAGTTCAGTCTTATTCGGGGAGCCATGTCTGTGAAGAATATACAAAGTATCATTAGCTAATACCAACGAGCCTGCTGGAAGTGTAACAATATAAGCATAATATATGTAGGCCTCCTTCTATAGAAGCAACATGTATAGATGCGGGAGCTTTTGAAATGAGTATTACTTTATTTATAAAGAGCATTATCCATTTATACCTCATGCTTGTTATGGGCAGCTTTTTGCTCAGGAATAGCTGTTATCTAGCTGTCTCTGCCTATTGTGTGTGTATATTTCTCTCTGTGTGGCCCATCTCTTTTGTCTCCTTTCTCTGGGGATCTTTCTCCTTCTCTGTGACAAAACAATTACAGGTCACAGATGACCACTTCAAGTCAAGTGCTGTTCAAAGCAGCCCCCCCCCCCCCATCAGGCCAATGCTCCTTCAGGTCTGACACAATGACTCTGCTTTCTGCCTCCATCGCTTTTTTATTGCCTCCCACATCCATGTTTGGATGGGCAGCTCTAACGCAGAGTTGAGGCAGGACAGTGCTAGTCTGGGCCTAGAATAAAGGTGGGAAACTTTTGGCCCTTCAGATGTTGTTAGGCCCCATCTCCCACTGGCCCCAGCCAGCTAGCCAACGGTCAGGGATGATGGGAGCCATAGCCCAGTTGCATCTGAAGGGCCACAGGTTGCCCATCCCTAGGCTATGATCTTTCACTAAACTTAACAAGCACCCCATATACTGTACTTACGTGCAGGAATCACTACCAGAAAGAAAAGGAGTTAAAAGAGATTAGTAAAGTAGATTATCTTGACTGAGAGCTCCATTACTGATTATGTCTCACATACCAAGAAGATGAAATCCCAGCAAAATCCCATAGGTGCATAAGCAAGTATGGAAGTAACTTCAGGTGGAGAAATGTACATTATTTCTAAGAAGAGCAGCATTTACCATCATTGTTGGACTGGGGAGAGGTCTCTATTTCGCCTTAGTAACCCCCAACCTGCTTTGCTGCCCTTGTCTTTCATGGAGCAGAGCAGGAGCCACAAAATGCCATTTTTGGTACATTGTACAGCAACTGATATCCTAGATCTGATATTTTGAGGGCAGCATCATCTTCTAGAAACCTGATTTGATTCTTGTGAACCACTATGAGAACCAGTATTATGGAAAAGCAGTATAAAAATAAACAAATAGATGAAGAACATAATGTCACCTATGACCATGACGTAATTCCCACAGTGCTAATACACTTCTGATCCAAGTTGATTTTTTTAACTCTCAGTTTTTACAGAAGCAATTTCTTTTCCCCTGCAGATCAAGTTTGAAAATCCCTTCTTTGGTCCATGAGCAGTACATTGGACATGGGGACTTGCATTGATTCTGTGCTTACAAAACTCTGAAAAATATTTCTTACTCAAAAAACTAACTTAACTTGCATTAAGTAGGTTCATTCTTTGGGATTAAGCCAGGAAATAGTGCTGCGCAGGCTAGGATAAGGAGTGTTATAAGATTATCGGGACATAAAATGTTGGCTATGGAATTCATCTTTCAGGATTCCAACCAAATTAGCTTATGTCCAGCCCCAGAAACACTCCTTATCCTAGCATTCCATCCCCACTCAACATGCTAAGCCTTTTTTGGACTGTTTTGGGGTCTGTGTGTTTCTTTCCACACTTGGGATTTTTCCCCTAAATATTTTTTGTACTCCTGCAAACCAAGAGATTGCTCAAGTAGGCTGGTATCTCCTTCTTGTACATGGATGATGCCAGTAGAATATATATATATATAAATTCATTTTTAGTGAGTGCAAAAGTCAGGGATAGAATTAGTGAGAATGCGGAAGCAACATAATATTTGGCATAGCTACAGTGCAAACAGTTTATCCAGCTACAATTCCCATGATCCTTCAAGGGAAACCATGACATATTCAGACCAGCTTAGTTTTGTTGTGTAAATATACCTTACAAGGAAACATTCCTAATGCATCTAGATATGGGGAATATATAGTCCCACATCTACCCCCTCCCACTTTTAACCTTGCTGAGCAGCTCTTTTGTCTAAGATTGAACAAGATATAGCTCTTTTTTGACACAGAACCAGGGAGGTTGAGACACACCCAGGCTATTCCTATTTATTAATCAAAAATCCTTCAAGACAAGTTTGAGAGACGTTGCCCCAGTACTTGGCTTTGCCATTTGACTCTCCAATTGAAGAAAGAGAAAAAGCAGCCCAGTTCAGCCCACACAGTACCTCTGTAGTCCTTTCCTTGGTCTTCCTCTCTCCCTGCTATTCTGGGCAGGCCAGCTTCTAGCTGTGCTTTACAGCAAGGGAGAGGACAGGGCAGAGCACTGGAACACAGTGGAAATGGGCAGCAGGAGCCACTGGAAAAAAGTTAAATGGAAATAGTAACTAGAAATGTCCAGGCGATATCCTGTCTCTTTGGTAAGAGGTAGCAACTCTATCAGAAAAAAGGCAATAAATTCTGCATTTTCAGATTAAACACATTTAACTGTAAAGCAAGCATAGTTGCTTCACCCATTTCTGTGCCATCATCTCCACTGCTTTATCTGTGACTTCTAGAAATCCATATGTAACTGACCTTTTCACCCCACAGTCCTAAATATACTATAGGGTAGTAAACCTTGCTGGATCAATGGGACTGGCAAATAGGTGGGGAAGAGATTACTTACTCTGCATGACGCGGCAGAGGTAATCTGCATAGCAGCTATCCTGTGCTGTTATGCTTTTTGATATCTCGCTCCCTTGGCTGGGACATTTGTGAGCCCGAAGCTAGCATCAGCAGCCTCGCCATACCTGTACATTTAGTTTCTCCTCTTGGAGTTCAGAATTCTATTCACAGCAATGATTAAGCCTGACAGCATTTTCCATTGGAAAGCTCCTGCTCTTTCCTTACCTGAGTGTGTTAGTTGCAGGTAAAGCTTGCTTTTTTCCTAAGCTTCCAGGCTCAGCGTCTCTCCTGCCTGTTCTGCTTGATTCCTGCACTGAATATGTGCTGTCTAAACCAAGGCTGCACACCAGGGTAGCAGCATCCAGTCAGCTGATTCGGCTGCTTTTTAGTTGCTAAATATAGACTGGTCTATGCTGGTCTGTGCCATTCTGTTTCCTAAGGATTCTAATTGATAAGTGCCTCGTATTACTGGAAAGGCTGAAAGCAAGGAATCGGGGAGACAAGTCTAGGATGATCTCCATGGCAAATAAATCAATTTCCTATGGCACAATAAAAGCATTAAGTTATGCTCTGAATTATTCAATAGGCCAAGACCAGGGCAACAGAATGGGAGTGACTATATTTTTGCTTTGTATTTGCATCTGTGGGAAGCAGCATGTAAAGACAGTTCCAAGTTGCTCTCTGCTGACGTGGGGAAAAGCTGTTTTTAAAAATAACGTGTGGAGGTTTCAATTAGCAGATTGTCTGTTTCTGCGTTCAGAAATTATACCCAGTGACCAAAGGCATCATACCTTCAAGGAGACATGTGAAGTCTCATCCTACAGAGATGCTCTCTTTTCCAGATATGGAGAAACCCTTGAAATCTTTATGGTTATATGCACAATATAATTTTAGTCAAGACTGTGGTGCTTCATAGAGTTAATTCATACCAGGGTCTAGCCCCAGCAACTGCCTTCCATGCGTAGCAACCACACCTTTATAGGGTAAGATGTAACATTTGTCCTGATTTATTGATGCAGGCAGGCAGCTTGTGTGTGTCATAGCCTGTGTGTTGAAGCGAGGTTCAGTGAAGGCTGCTATCTCCTTGCCAGGACCGAAGCAGTCCAGCTGGCCAATGTATGTTGAAGGAAATGGTACCAGCTTTGTCCCAGGAAGCAAATAGTCTTGGGCCAGACCTGACAAAGCAATACTCAGATAAAAGAGTATCTGAAAGGGTCCTCAGAGTTTAGAATATATTTGTGTCGCCAAGGAGCTGCTACACAGAATGCCTGGGTACCAGAGGAAAGGGAAAGGGACTCCCAGATCAGAAGCAGCTACCTTCCAATTTGAGGTTGGTGTGTTTGCTTCAATTAAGCCCTGGGGCCTCCAGCTCAGGCACCAGCACTCCACATCCTTGGGCAGCATCCCAGAAAGGCCCGTCAGCACGGAAGCTTGCTCTGAATTTGGGACCATCACCTGCCTGCCCGCCTGCCCGCCTGCCCTGTGTTTGGGCATGTCTAGTGAAATTAGTGGGTATCTGCAAGCCACCTTTTAAATTACTCACATTGCCATGGAATGACTGCAGTTTGGATATTCTGGGTAATTACGTAAATAGGCAGACGACTGTCATTCCCCATAGTTTGCAACTCTCCTGTCATCTGCTTCTGCCAGAGAACTCACTGGAAGGAGACAGTATGGGCTGGTCCCCAGCTAATGGCATCCCGCCAGGATCCTTCTCATAGCCACAGTCAGCAGCAAGACCCCATTTGGCCTCAGATCTTACTGAGCTCATAGCCAAGTGGGGCAAGCAGCCTTCGGAGCATGGCCTTTTCATGCCAGGAATGCTTGTGTATTCAAAGATTTGCACTCTAGAACATTTCATCTGGCATTTATGTTATGGGAAACTCACATGCAACTTCATCAACATGATCTGATTCTATATATAAATCTGGTAATTTTTATAGACCATATATGGACCAAAATGCAGAAGTTCTGTGCTTGGATTTCCTGTTATTTTTTTCTTTGTTGAAAATCAGACAGGGTGTGGCTTTGGAGCTGTTTGAATCCTTTTTTATATACCCTTTTCAGGATTAAAATGAGGAAATTGTGGGGTTTAGCCCAAGTTAATATAGTTAGAAATTACTAAATAAGTACAAGTCAAATTCCACTGTGCATTGCACAGGCCAGTACAAGCCTACACATGTGATCTAGTATGTATCTTCATCTCTCTGACATAAAGTTAAAACAACATATAATTCATAAACAGACCTCCTTGTGCATGCACCGTCCCCTTTCTACATGTTCTAGATGTGCCACAAGGGGACATCTAGATTAAACATTAATTAAACATTAAAACATTAAAATTAAACATAATTTTCCTTCCCATTTGTATGCAAATCCAGTGGTTCTTTTGCATTTCAGGATAGGCCACAGTGAATTTCTTTCTGGAGCAAGAACCACAGGCAACTAACCCATACCCTGCTCAGTTAAAATATCACTGCACATTTTTAATCTGCATCTTCTATAAAACACATAGCATCTGAACTTACTCCTTTTTAAACCGTTTGTAGTCCTAGTGTATTACTGCAATTTCAGAATTCCCACACTGGTAAAAAGAACATATTAAATTATGTATCATCATCATATTTCTACACCACCAAAAAGCCAAAGCTTTCACAGGGCTCTGCAACAATAAAGAGTTTCTTTGCTTCTCACACTTAAGTGAGGCTATGCTTCCCCTTCACAAAGGGACTTTTACTGAGGGTTGTAATATGTATATTGCTGTATGCTTAAAACACAGTCCTGTGTGTGTCCGTTCATGTGTCCCATTGGGTTCACTGGAGCTTACTTCCAGGTAAGTGGGTATAGGATTGCAGCCGTAACTAATTCAAAGACAGATGATGTGCTGACAGCCCAAGTTATAAGTGTTATTGATTTATATGCAGAAATAAGTAAATAATGCATGACTTCAACTGGAATGAAGCATTTTCTCCATATAGCTCAGCTGCTTTTAATTATTGATGGCCTGAAAGCATTTTTAAATGTTGATAGTGTCACATACATATTTCAAAAGGCACTCCTTTTGCATCCAAAGAATTCCTTTAATAAAGTATAAAAAGAGCCTTTTATTTACCTCTTAAGCCACCTCTTCTCTTCTTAAGCTTCTTCAAATGGCTACCAGAACCAGAGACAGAATCCTTGAAGAATTCTTTCCTTGTATTTATACCTTTTAGGGAATATAATAAATTACCATAAATATGGAAGAAAGAGAGTAGCAGGGCCAATGCCTGTTCAGACAAGCAGATAACTAGTTAACAGACCCAGAACAATGGAGCTACCCTTTAACTTGTAACATTCCAGAAATATCCCATCTGTTTCTAAGAGCCAAAAGGCAAATGAGTAAGGATACATTCTCAAGGATCCTAGTGCACGCGCATGCACGCATGTGCACACACACACACACACCTGGCAGAAAACATGTGCAGGCTCACCATGAGATGTTTTTGTGGTGACCTGGCACCTGTCAGCATTCTGGCTACAGGGACAAGGCTGGATTCAGCCCAGCCAACTAGTATTGGCTGCCATCACCAAGAGTAAAACAGACCCAGTCCCCTTGGTCCCTAAGCACCCTCGGTCTCTTGGGAACCACCGGCCGAAGGTCCCACAGAGTTTTTTGCACTGGTCTCCCTTGTGAGCCCCCTTGTATCCTTAGGGGAGCATGGCTGGGTTACAGGTTCCACTCAGCAGGTTGAATGCAACCTGGCTGTTAAATCAATGCTATCATGACCAATAATGTGGTGTACGGCCTTGTGAACCTTTTACCCCCAAAGGCAACAATCTGGGTTTTTATGCAGATAGTTAAACAATAAAGATTTCTTAGCAATTCAGGGGAAAGCGTATAAACTGGTTGGTATGTCCCCTAGCACACAACAATAAACAGTTTAAAGAGGGGATTCAGTGATGAATGGCCAAGAAAACAATGATGCAATTTCTCAGGTGCCTATCTCAGACCCTCCTTTTCTTCCTGGAAGATCTACACTCTAGCACATGTACTGAAGAAAAGACACCCCCCCACACACACATACACACTGCTTTTTTCTTCAGTTACACTCTACACAATGTTCATCGTTGGCCCAGAGATGGTTTCTCAAAGATTCTTTATAGTTTGGCACCTGGACAATAGGTGTGCTAAGTGCAGGTGCTTGGTTTTAGGATGGCCTTTGCCCTGTAATGCCAGGATCTAGCATGTGGCAACTAGTGACTCCCGTTTTTAGCAGAGGAAGGCTTCTTCCTCTTAGTCCTCAGTAAGATGGAGTTAGTATTGTCTGGTTGAGTGGGCCATCCTGGGCATCTCTAGGCTGATCTGAACAGCTTTAGCCCACATTCCCCGAACTTGGTACCCTCAGGATGTTTTAGGACTGCAGTCTCTATCAGCCCCAATTAATATGGCCAGTGCTTGGGAATAACGGGGGCTGTAGTTCAAAGCATCTGGAGGCAGCACATTGAGGAAGGATGCTTTAGCCTTTTCCAGAGATAGTGGTGGTTGCTTGGAAAATCAGGAACAGCCCAATCCTCTGTGTGCTTATCCAGGAATCCAATCTAAAATAAGTGTTCTATAGTGCTTACTCTCTAATTGGTGTGTTTAAGATCGTAGGCCTAATTTTATCTGAGAAAAGAGACCTTCTTTTAAGTAATATATCAGGGACTGAAAGTTTGATGACTGCTGTTACTGAAAAAACAGATAGGATATCTGAATGGCTGAATATTTTATTTTATTTATTACTAACATTTCTTAACCCTGTCTTTCTGTAAAAATAATAATAATCAAGTTGGCTTGATTAAACAACCAATAAAACAGCAATCAGCAATAATTAAATTGCAACTGAATGATCTCAAGTGGTTTATGGTATTGAAACAGCAGTAAAACCTTTAAGACAATCAATATCCTGGGAAGGCCCAGTGAAATAGAGCAGCAATGGGGCCAGGCAGAGGCCATTCCATCTTCGGGGCTCCACAGCAACAAAGAACCCATTTCTTGTGTCCAACCCACCTACTGCGCACCTACCGGGCAGTGATGGGGGGCTCCTGGCTGACCCTCTCCAGCTGGCGGAGCTGTTGCCGGGGACTGCTGCTCTGCGCCATGGCACTTGCGCCACGGAGATGTGCCGGGCCCCTGCTATCCAGCCTCTGTATGAGACTGCTGGGAGAAGGCACCTGGAGGGTGGGGCTGGAATGCCATCAGTGCGCTGATGGCACTCGGCTCCACCTCTCGTTCTCATCTGATCCAGGCTGTTCTAAACTGGTGCCTCGGCTTGGTAATGGACTGGATGAGGGCC